CTGCAGGTGATCACGCGACATACTTGACTTGCATTCGTCCTTAAGATACCTCTCTCCCTCTACGTAAATAAAGTCGGCATGCGGCATCGGTAGTACGGCGAAATACTCAGATCAGAACAGAACAGCAGATTACATTCTAAAGTGCTGCCAATACAAAGGTACTGGAATTGAATGGCACAGTAATAAGAACCGCAACCACTAAATAAAGCACCCAATTACTTGTTTATTCAAACAACAAGACGTTAGATTGCAGTCATTATCATTTCAACTTCAGTGATATCCCTTTAGAGCAACGTCTTCAAACACATAAATCGCGCCATGTGACGTTTGTCTCACAATGAGCCAAAGTAGTAGCATCCAACTGAGAAGAGAGTAACTGCTAATAAAGGCGCGACATAGCACTCAACTTTGGGCAGATCCATGATCTCCAATCTGACATATCTGAGGTAGAGATAGCTAACAATGCTAGCCACCCCAAACAACGAGACTTGTAAAGTTGCCTTTATTCCACCACTAAAAAGGCTGCAAGGTAACGCGGCTAGATGGATAGGCTGAGGTATGCATCAAGGAACCAATTAGCGATTGTGCCCAAGACACCAACATATCGTACTTATTAATGGGAACCCAACATGATCCGCATTATCCTTAGTGGGTTGGTGATTAAGGGAATGCTAAAGCCAGACATCTCCATGACCGAGCATTAGCACACAATAGGGTCGATGAATAGACAAATCAGTGGGGTAGGGGTCGCGCACCTGAAGGAAAGCCGAGGCGGCCCCCGACCCTCCAAGTCGGGAAAATGCACCACCGGTGATGTTGGCAATATCTGCGTTGATGGAGCTCTCTTTCAGTTGCTTAAAGTAGAGGCTGGGCATGTGCCAGAATGGGTCGTTCTTCACCAGTCCACAGTGATTTAGCGACCCTATTATAGTGGGAATTTTGACAGCGGAGGTTTCGGTAGCGGTGCCAGAGGCAACGGAGGTCTCGTCCGAGACACCAACGACACCGGGAGGCCAAATATTTGATATATTGCGTTGTTGAACGATGCGATTGCAGAAAAGACCGGTGTACTGATCGCCCAGAGAGACGGATATCGCGCCCGTCAAAGTCGCTGCGTCCAGCAGAAAGAGTGGATTTCGAGATTGAGCATAGTGCAAGGCGTCCGCAAGAATTAGACGCCCTTCAGCATCGGTGTTGTCTACCTAAAGTGGTGCGAAGCTCGGTGTTATTACAAGGAGTGTTCAAGCCAATCTGAAACTTCAACTTTAAAAAAGAGCTGTCGCCGTGATGACAGTATACACAGCAGCGAACAACAGGCGAATGTTATTAGACGTAGACCTTCCAGACACTATTAATGAGGGCGTCAGCTAACAGTGATAGTGCGTGAATACAGTGGTGTGATGCATGAAGTTATTGCCCATGAAAAAGTTGAACCTGCGAACATCTACGTTGGAAGTCTTCAGCTTTTGCGATGCTCTGACGCTCAGTGGTAGGATACACAGTATCAATGATAATCCAGGCCGCGGTAGTTCAGTTTTCAAATCAACCTCGGCGGATGTTCCTGTGAATATTCAGCCTACGAATGAAAGGTCCGATCCTGAACACCTGATCGACGTATAGCCGGTGGTGAAGCTGAACGAGAGACAAATTGCTATGTAGGAATCGTGAATTCAACATCAAAATTCTAGAATTCTTGCGTGCGTTGGGTACAAGTACGGGTGAGGTGAAACAGATTGCACCAAAATAGTTCAAGCGTATTGGCAAAACAGTCAAACGCTGGGAGAAGTGTGCTAGTGTAGCTCCAGAAAAGCGCACGGGAGAGCGAATACTTTATAACCCGTGACAGGTATTCTTTACTGACTCCTCTGGACTTAAAAGTTTCAACGTGACTTGATCACGCCTCTTGGCTACTGCATCTGAGAAGAATTCGACATCAATCCTGCGGAACATTTCGTTGATCGCATGGAATTCGGCGCGGTCGTTGAAGTTATTTCAATGATCCATTCATCTTTAACAGACCTATCAAACCAGTCTGTTACTATTTTATTTATGAATACAACTGACCCCAATTTACCAACCACCACACAGTAGGTGATTCCCCTCTTTGCTTCCGAAAGAGCAAATGACTTATCTGAGTTCGCAATCCGATTCCTTGAAACGATACCAGCGTTACACGTACGCGACGCCTCGATATCCTCACCGGCGGCTGGCACCACACAGTTGTGACATTTGTTCTCCATCAGTCAACGATGGCTGATCGTATCATATCATGCGTCGCTAACATAGTGGTTATTTAAAACAAAAAAGTAGACGTGTAATTTTTTTCGACTGGGGAGTATACAATTGCATTCCTTCAGTTTTTGAACAGCAGTTTAATTGGCCATTTCGGCAATGCAAGTGTTGATGCTACAGTAGAACAATAAAATAATTGCCTTTAAGCCGTTGCAAAGTGAAAGGTTATTGAAACCGTCAAAGTTCCTTCATGAGTTACAGAGGCCATCTGCGATGAACAGTTTAAAAAAAAATTTTGATTATGTTAATTAACAGTCCCCCTAAATGCTTCCATTGGCCTCACAGTTATGCCAATACGATTGACAGACATCATGAAGTGCCCTTCGTGAGTCCATGTCAAAGTGGCTTTGACGTTGACTTCGCTTAAGGCTGGCATGGATTTGAGCATCATGAAGAGAACCAGTATTTGCATTCGGGTCTGTTACAAATCCTTCAAGCGTCATTCCTCTGTATTTACGAATCAGTTTCAGAGATTTTGCTTCACTCCTTTGACCGTGGCTATAACTGGCTGCGTGTCTAGAGCAACCAGCATTCTTCACACCAGAGTTCCAAACTACTTTATTATATGCTTATACCAAGCACACGTCGAGGGAGACGATTTGGACTTAACAACGCAACCACACGCCCTCTGTCCACAATGCTCTGTGTAAAATGGAAAGGTGTTCCTCATTCTTCTGTTAGATGTACATGCAATTCTTGTACTTAACCACAAGAGCACATTTGTTCATAACACCTTACTACTCCTCCTCTCCCTGGCAGCAGTCACCAAAAAGCGAAAAAACCTTATTCTAAAGTCCCTCGCAGTGCACTCTATGGACTGTTTGCTCAACCATAACTATGAGGATAAAACAGATTGCTTCAAGTGACATGCACGACAGAAGTTGGACGCCTGACGCCTAGAAACTTCTTTGCAAAAGCAGAAAATCAAGTAAGATAAATAGGAGATGTGAGTCCAACTGATTTACCATAATTCAAGCTCTCTCTACTTGCTAAGAGACGAACTGTGGCAGCTCCCAAAACAAATGACACTCCTTGCTTTCGCAAAAAAACCACGCTACCACACCCAGCAAACAGAAAAAATGCAGGCAAAAGTAAAGGTGCGAAGTTCTGGTTGGACGACTACTGATTGGAAGAAAAAAAGCAATGAGGATGCAGCACCAAACAAAATTGCGGTTTTCGCCAGGCATATGATGCTAGGTTAAGAGGCGAGTTCATCAAAGCTTCTATTGTGATTGAGGCCTTATGGGTGTTTTTTTCTAGTAAATTGTTTATTTCGGAGCAGTTTATCCCTAAGTCATGAATAAAGACGTCGTGGAGTTTTCATACAAGGGTTCCCCAAGGGAACGAATAGATATTGACTGGAAAACAACAGTGATGTGACTAACTGGCAAAATCTAACTTACTGCTTGAAGGCCTTCCGTCTCCCGTAATTCGACTGTTGCGCTAGTGACATGAAGTTCTCTTCCCACTATCAACTACACCAATATTGACCCCGGCTCTGCCCTACTCTTACCTCTTTCCTATCACAAGGACCTCAGAAATGTCTTCCATAGGGAAAACAAAGAATCAACTCGTACTTGAACGGTGGTCCCGCTGGCCATTCGGATGACATCACCCGGACGAATAGCGTTGCCGTCAGGCATATTTTCCACCAACGGCAGATATGCGCGAATATTAATTGGCGTCTGGAGTTGAATCAGACCCGTAATCACCGAAGTAATCACTGCTGCTCCTCCTGCAAGGTGAATAACGGAACCAGCATAATCTAAGCTAGACTGTCTGTAAATCTAAAAAAACCTTATATCTTCTAATGAACACCTCGCTTTATATTAAAGATTAAATTTTAACAGGAATTTCAGTTATACTGCAACAGAACTGACATTAGTTACGGAAGCTTAGCTACGTAGGTGTATAATATGATAAATAGGACGGGGGTTGCATAAAAGCATTACTTATGAAACGTTTGGAAAAGAGGGTTCAACATGAATCATTGTGTTGACTTGTCCGCAAAAAGCTATCCCACTTCTCTTCACGTCGCGCTCATCTACGGACCTGTTACTCTAGTCTTCGAAAAGCCTGCTAACACAGCAAAACCACGGAGCTCTTTCCAAACCTCCACAATTAATTCTAGGCCTACGGCTCCACAGTTCCAGTGCCAGTACTTCTGTGCATCAAAAACAAAACCTCATGCATACTTGCGAACTCTACATAGGGGGTTCAGGGATAATTTGGGTGCTACAAACGTTTTTGCGTCTTCATCTAAACTCTGCGATCAAACTGACACACGAGAGTGGAAGCGTACCAATTTGTCGGAAAAATAAAAACATTTCAAAAAACATTTAGGACAGCAAGCTGAATAATTGATGAGTTCTAACAATCTAAACGTACTTTTTACTAGACCCTTAAATATGGAAGGTGCCACCTTGGAGCAAAGCTTGGCTTTGTAATTCCTTTCCCCACTCTCCCTCTGTTTAACGACACTATTTCACTGTTTCTTTCCTCCCCAGTCGAATTTATTCCCCTTTAACTAAGTATGACTTGAAGACCGTGGTCACACGTGTGTGTGACGTGGGTAGAGAGCGTATTGGGGAAGTCTTATTTTCCATTTTTCTTAACTTAACAACTCAGACATAGCTCAAACGCTATGGCGCAGCAAAAATGACTGCAAGAACCTCCAATAGATGGTCAGCTGCCTATGCTGCCTGCAAAACACCCACGGTCTCACAAAACTAAAAAGGCGGTAATTTAAGAAGTGATAATTTATAAGAAAAAGTGGGACTGAGACTTTGAAAAGGACTACAACCCAAAAGAATCCAGGATTGAGTAATAAGAGACCTCCAAATAGTCCAAAACAGGGGGCGTGGAGAAAAAGAAAAGAGATTTACCCATATCAGCACGCATATCCCCCATTCCAGCGGAGGGTTTGATGGAGATACCTCCGGCATCGAAAGTCACACCCTTACCCACCAAAGCGATATGATCGTTGAGCCGCGAAGGATCACCCTGAGCAAAAAAGAACAGTGAAGATCAACAAAAGAGACAGATTAAGGGAGAAGAAAAGGAATACTGATGACGCCTTGTCGAGTGAAGTTTGACTTGACCTGTGGATTGGACGAGAGTACAAGAGACAGATTACAGTTAGGCAGCCAACTATATGTGATTTATGGGAACAAATAAATCATGATACTGATAAAGAAAAATACAAAAAAGTGCATTCATGTGAATACAAATAAGATTTATCACGATCTCCTAGCCTCCCTGACCAAGTAATCCAAATGAACTATGTTAGGATGTCAAAATTAGGTCATAGATGCCAGTTTTATTAAAGTGCTTCCTGTTTAATGCCCATAACTAAAAAGCTTACTTGCTTAAAGTCAAAATCCCCACATTTACAAACAATCAGATGGTAGTGAGGCGAAAACGGTGATGACCATCATTGCTTTTATGCGATAAAAAGGTAGATCTTGATAATAACTAAAGCTGTCGTGTGGACAACATTCCGATAAGACAGAGTAAGACTATATAATAACTGACATCAGAGTAGAAAGAACAACGACAAAGGTGAATATTTGGTGAAACATTCGCTATGTTGGACCAAATGTCCATTACTCACTGTCCTAACATCTTGAGGTGGAAAATATGGCTAGATTAACAAAAAGGAAGAAATATCCCAGAGCAGCTGGATAACAGGATTATTGCAAGCTGTGAAGGCAAGGTAATAAAGCTGGTAAGTGGGAAGAAAGGGAGCAGGAGTGAGCCTGTCCCCTTTAAAAATCAAAAATACTCAGAGTGGGAACTAAGACCCCCAAATCGTTTGAGACAGCTCAACAGTGAAATCAAGTGTTCGGCAAAGTTCTGGTACCTTTATGGAATATTTTTTTCGAGAGATCCACTGTGATCTGTGGTGTGTTGAATAATGGAAAATATAGCAATTAATCAGTAAACGACAGGAACCATTCATAGAAAAGGAAATGAAGTTGAAAATTTAGTTGCACATATTGGATTAACTAGTTATTAACATTATTAAAGTGTTATTAACAAAAAAGACTTAAAAAGCTTTGAATAAGGTGTATCGTCATTTCATAGCCCTATTGACATCCTTGATTCCAAACAACCTGTGTCGTTACGACTGTCATCATCAGGGAGTTAAACGAAACATTGATGGCCCTACCCTTCATTGAAGACGAAGAGCCTAAACAGACTTGATGGTTCAAAATCTGGTTTTACACAAGTAAGGGTATAAAGGGAGGACTAAGCCTTCGATGGTAAAAAGAATGAAGCCTTAAGACTCGAGATAAAGCGGTATGATTGGTTCATGAGCGAAAACCGAACAAGTGATAGCAACAGCCCACCAATTCGAAATGATGAGGGAATTCGCGACTAGGCGGGGCCATTGTCAGAAGCTAATTTGAAGAGAGTAAAGATAAGTAATCAGTAGTACTTATCAGATCAATTAACTACCAACAATAGCGTTCAAGCATCAAAGCAAACGGTACCGAAGCGAAGGGTAAAAGCCATCATAAAGACATCTAGAAAAAGAAGTGAAAAGATCTAGAGAGAGCACAAAAAGCGACGCAGGGTGAGGAAGTAACGGACGCAAAAGTTTTGAGAGTTAAAAATACAAAAAGGCGAAGGTTTAAGAAGAAAAGGTAGCAAAGAATGATAGCAATGTGTAGTATATTGACCTCTTTTGGAACTACACGCAGTGTCGCCCCATCACTTGCGGATTGCTTGGGATACTCAGTAGATGTATTTTTCCCCAATACCATTAATAAAAGCGGAAAACAACGAGTCAGCCAAGGAACTTTTACGTGGTATCTCGAGTAGTTACCAAACTTTTCTAGTACCTCCACACACCTCACACCCCAATGTCTGGAATAAATTGCTGACTTATGATCACCAACGATGTGCGCCTGAATTGCCATAATAGCAAAGGAGAAGTTGAGTTTGCCTTTTAACGAGAATCAAGGAAATGATAACGACCTCAGGGTACGGTATTTACGGGATAAGAAAAATAACTTGATGTAATGAACTTGTCTTTAATAATTACTCATTTCCAAAGAGATTATCACTTGGTGCAATTTGGTAGAAGTAATGACATTGAAGCCACTAAATGAAATCCTAGAGGGTAATTCTAAGATATAAATCGGAAGATGATGCAGCCGTCCAAAAAAGCGGATTTTATCTTTCAAAATTTAGCACTAAATCCAAACTTAAGGAGGTAATTAATAAATTTGCCATTTTTAAGAGCTCCAAGTCATTATAAAACTGATTACTGCAAAGAAAAACGCAACTCATGGAATGAATTTGACCACGAGTAGGCATAAAGAAAACTTGAATAAAACTGGAACAAAATTTACTTTTGTGGAGCAGAAAAACGAAGTTCATGATTAAACTAGAGGAATAAAACGAAAAAAATGATCATCGAGAAGCAGACTTAAGTGGCGAGCCTGACAACAATGCAACCATACAAAAAGAAAGTGCTTAAAAACCCAAAACAAAAAGAATTGAAGTTGGACGATTAGGTTATGGTCATTAGACTTCTCAACTCACCACAAAATTAATTTCCACAAAACACGGAGGTCGAGTTGAACCCCTAGCAACACCCAGAACTCCACCCATGTCCTGTTGTTCAATCCACATCTTGTCATGGACCTCCACAGTCAGAGAGGCATCACCCGCTGCGGATTTCAAAGCCTCGGAAAGCGCTTCTTCAATCTCGTGAGCAAAGACCTCCGGGGGAAACAGATTTGCTGGCATCTCCATCCATCGCCTCGCTTGATTCTGTGCTTGCGCGAGAACCCGACCCCGATTCCAAGCAGCTAGGAGCCTAGAATAAGGAGGTAAGAAAGACGACACCATGCTCACTTTCTACGAGTCTGGAACCCATCCGGATCGTTGTCAAGATGTGCGGTAAAACAGGAAATTGGAGGTTGATTGACACGGGATTTTGGGTTCTTCAACTCATCAAATGAATAGGCGGCGAGGTGGGCTGTTTCCGCCGCCATCTCTGCGTCGGTAAAAGGATCAATAAATATTTCTGAGACCCCCTGCCTCTAGAAGGACGTAATGACCATCAATGACACCTTAAGCGCAATGAAGGATCTTACCTGCAGCGTCTGAACGCCCCGACCAATACACATTTGCAACTTGTCATGATAGATACGACGCCATGACAAAGGACCCTGCCCCGGGTCATCTTTAAGATCACCTTCTTTGTTTTGAACTGATCTAATTATTAAGGGATTACAAACTATGCAATATTGGCTCTGCAGGAATGTCGCATTGCACAGATCCATTGCACCTATTTTAGAGAGACAACATCTAAGCAGGATTGTGCGCTTGATAAAACTAACTTTGAGATGCGATCCTTAATCCCACCATTTAGGAAGACCTCGTCAACATAGGCGATGGCCGGCGATAATAATCCTTGAGTGTGCCGCTGCACTGCATAACCACCAACGAGACCTGCCACTTTCCTCTAATGTGGTATTGGCAATAAAAAAACAAATACTTCACGTTGGTATTCACTGCTTTCCTCTGAAAAATGCCGTTTGGATAAGCAAATACGGCCCAGACTAGCAGGGACCAACAACCCCAAACCTCCCCGCATTTTGGAAAACATGCGACGGTAGCGCGCAAATAACGTGCTCTTACTGGACGATTTAAACAAAACAAATATATTACAGTTTTACACAAACGCGCAGAACTCGTACAAGAACAAACACCTGACACCACTCCCAGATTTATGAACAGTCTTTCTGAGGTTGAATATCTCCTGTCGAACGGTTTGACGACGCCAAGGGCTGGTTCTGGATGCGATCGAACAGGTTCCCGCGAAATCGATCTTGATCGCCCGCACCCACCTCCACAGTCAGCGACTCGGTGGGCTTAACAGGATTTCTCTCGCTTGAGTCCATTGGATTCGAAGGAGACTCTTTCTCGGCAGGCGGACCTCCATTCTAAGTTCAAATAAATATGACAATAATTGGGTAATCACGAATGTCAACCAAAAGTAACGATAAGCCTAGTGGACCTAAATTTGAACAAATATAACCAAGAACGCCATGCCCATACTTGAGGTTGGAATATCTCTATTTGTCTTGAGACTCACCCATCTGTGAAAACTTTGGGACCAATGATAAATGATAGATAGCAAACACCGTGCGCCATGTTTCAGATAAAGCGAATGGCGGCTTCAAGTAAGTTTATTTTTATTAATACATTGGACTATTTCATTCATTTATATAACTTTGGAAAATAGCATAGTTCCATATAAGATGAATACAGGAAAAAGACCTTTGGGTAATAGTAAAGCAAGCCACCCAAATGAACACAGCAGACCCGTGAAATGAGGAAATTTCCGGGTATATGCAAACAACATTCCGTTTTCAAAGCGCACATTTTGGGGAAAAAATCACTGAATATTTGACCAAATCAAACAAATCAGCATAGTTTCTCAACATTTTTCAGCAACAGACCAGCAAAAGGGTAAGGTCGATTCCCATCCAGAGAAAAAAAATTACCACAACCCTAAAATAAATTGTGGCAAAACGCAAATAACGAATTCAATGCAATTACTACTACTATGAGTCCGTTACAGGAACGTCACACATATGTGACGGGTTGCCAGTTGACAATAAGTGACTGTGGGAAATTGGAAGTTATTATAGATGAAGACAAATACATTCCTGTTGGTGTCCACTAGAACAGTAAAATATGGGCCGTAATGGTGGAGTTTCCTCTGAGAAAGGTGCCGTGATATCAAATGTGCTACTTGGATGCAACATCACAGCAAACAAAAAAGATATGAAATGCTAAAACCAGTCAGCCAGATGAGTTGAGCGTAGAGTCCAGACTATACCATTTCAAACATGGCACGAACAGTAGAGTCAATGACGACCCAAACACATTCAAAAATTGTTTTGGACACGATTCAAAGGGACGAGCAGTCAAATGCACACACGCACACAGTAAGTGACGTTCAGACAATGACAATTGGGAGAAAAAGTACGAGCGCTGAACCTACGGGATCGACCTTGACGGCGTCTGTTACCGTCGTCACGGTGACAGACAGAGGGGCTAGAAGAGGAGGAATTTGAGTGTCGGTGGGGGGAGGCTTAGATCCAAGCCACGCCTTGAAGGTTTTCTTGCAATTGGCCACGAGACAGGCTGCGGAGCAGTAGTTCAAATTCCAGCGAGAGTCAAACACCACAGCTTGTTGGCAAGGTGGATTGGTACACCGGGGGGTATTTTGCGAAGCCTACAAAGTTAGCCAAAGACAAATGGACGGTCCACCTCTCTCAAATTATGAGTGAAACACAGCGACAGTAGGGTTTGATGCTGCTATTAATCCACCAGCAGCATTGTTGAACCGTTTGGTTCCGCAACCTGGGAAGAAAAGCAAAGCTGAATAGCTAGAAGGATTTCACTTCCACGTGAAATGGAAGCCAGCGATGGTCGGAAGATAAGCTTGTTATTCAGAATTATGAACCCGAATTATGGTGCATGTTCCGTATTTATTGGCACAAAAAAACCCAAAATCCAGCACATAGATGGCTGGAAAGTTAGCAGCAACGTTTGTCACGCGCCCCTTATTGTAGGACCCGAAATCATAGCTGCTCGAATTCTTCGCACGGACTAAAGGAAGATGAACTTGTTTCACCTCCTGGTCGCTACAAGAACTACTCCAAATAGCATCATTGTTACAAGTATCAAGAAAAGGATAGTCACCAGTCGTGTAAGGCAGATCGTCTCCAAGGCTTCACCTGAAAGGCTGCATGAATGATGTTGGTAATTCATTCGCCACGTAGGGATGATTCAACTAATTTCACTGCAAATTATCTGTAGATTATTACCAGTAGCTTGGGTACCAATATTTGAACAGTTAAGCCGAAAGTGGTAATTGGGATATTCGAATCTGAGAAACTGATAGACTTTCTAAACAGAAGCAGACCTGGAAAGCACTTTGGAGGTAAAGCAAACAGGATAAGGCCGGTTTACTTCATTCCCGCACTATTCAGCATTCCATCCCCTGATGTTATTTATTTGGTGAAGCTGACGCCATTCACCCTCCTGAAGGTGCTAAAGATGTGTCATCTGCCTTGAGACTGACCAAGACGCTGCAAGCGTTCATCACTAATAGAGTACACCCTAGCCACTGACTTCATTTTCTCAAAAGGGAAAGGCGTTGAAGACACCATCACCAACATCACAACAAGTGATATCGCACATGATGAAGGCTTTCCACACATTGTCAACACGGATTGCGGAAACGAAAACAAATAAGTACTAAGTCTCTTGGGTGGTTGAACTTCTTGATTTGAGTCTCATGTGTCACTATTTTAATGATGTGTGGAGTTATTTGTAGTCCGGTGTTTACATACGACTGACGTCTGCCCCTAAAAACTCTGTCTGCAAGTGACATGCATAAGTTCTATAAACAAAACCCCAAAATACAAATTTCCAACAATTAATGCATCGAAAAAGGTTGCGGACAAGATGATTGTCTGTATCACTTAAAAAGGGTAGCATAAACGGCATCACAATATCGACACGGTTCCATCAAAGCCACGGAAAAATCGAGAGTTCAATTTCAGCTGAAGTTGACCACAAGTTTTCAATATAAGTTAAAAAGAAACGTCATCAGAAGTGGAGAATTTGTGGTTTCTTGCTCCAAGATGAGCATTTCAAATGTATCATAGTAGTCAGGGTATTTGTCTAACACCTCGTTTAGGTTCTGCGGGCACTCAAACCTCTGTCTTTGTACTTTTGCTGGACGGAATGGCCTCCAAGCCATGCCAGTAGACCCCCAGCCCTTATGCACCTCAGCAACGCATATTTTGCTCTCACCTTATGACTTCCTCCGTCTTCAGAAAAGGCTTGGGACACTATAGCATTATTCATTCCCACATCGATCTTCGACACCTAGATGAGCTTGAAAACTCTACGACGATAATACAATAACCACAAAGGCCTGGTAACTATAATGCATGCTTGTAATATTACATTACTACAAGACTGAGAGCCTCGTTTTTCCGTTCTTCAACATGATTTTGCAAAAGTAATTGGAGGTCATTTCAAAAGATGAAAGGCATTTTGCTACAACACTGACTTATCGTTATAGCGCCCCAAGTCTTTCCCGAAGTAGAAAGACGTAATACTAGAACAGAATATGAATTGCCGGTGTACCAACATGGCCCAGAGGCCATTCTGCTTAGCGAAAGCACAAAAGCGAGGCCTCTCCGCAAAAACCAAACGAAGAGTTGAACTAATAACTAAAGTACTACATATTATAACACACATTGATAATTAGCAATGCTTTAACAACGTCAGATTATCCAAACCAAGACAGCTGCCAATCATTATTCAGCACTACAAGAAATCTATCAATGTGATTAAGGAAATCACTTTCAAGAGCAGAAGATACTCCTCCCATGTGAATAAAATGAAGAGATGCCCGAGAAAGCAAGAGTTTAACGATTCCATAAAGTCCAGCAAACGGACATTAGGAGGAACAAGGGCTCGCTTCAACAAGATAAACAGCATTCCAACGATGCCATCTGCTTTATCAGCTAACTTCAGAGTGAAATTTGACGGTAGTACTTAAGTGGAAATTTGACATTTTACTTCCAAATAAAGCAAACAAAACAGTTGCGTAATTCACTATTTTTACACCCGGTAACAGCTAAAGCCGAGAAATGCGGCAACATAGAGAACACTAAAATAAGGAATATTTGTTTCAAAAGAACAAATAGAAAAAAGCTGAGAAAACCTTAAAAACAAGTATGTTGGTTCCAACAGACTTTACCACAAAGGTATGGTGAAACAGTTTATGACGGATGGCAACATCCTGGTATAGAAATTGCAGTCTTCAGCTCCTAATTAGACCATTCGAAAGGATCACTTGAAATGGGCTTCCTATTTCTAACGGAAAATCAACAAAATCTGCAAAAATGATGAGATATTAGATTCCAAGGAAATAAGCTTTAATGGGAATGATAAAGAAAGCGATCGCGATTCTTCTCTCTGAGTTCGACGAATCTGTAACGTGAGACAACCGAAAGGCGATGACAACGTCCAAGCACAGAAAATCGTGAGTTTGTATTTTTTTCAATTAGGCAATTCAAAACCATTATCCAATGCACCTATTCCATTTTCAGCAAAATTTGACAGAATTCAAACATGGAAAACACAAGCAACGAAAAGGAAACAAAAGAGGACGCCTTACCACTGTTCGAAGTTTGGCGCGATGATCAAGCAAATGCTGGGTGTAGGAGGCCTTCGAATGTAAAGCTCGTTTCCGGTAAACCTATAAAACATGCACACAACAAAAGAGGACAACGCCTTTAAACCACGAAACAATATCTCAGCATCTCTCAAAAACTATGCTTTGGCAAACTACCTCTTGGTCTGGCAAGAATTGACAAAACACTTTGGCGAAGGGAGATTATCATACCGACAAAGAGGTACTGGAGTCGGATTACCAAAGCAAGATAAATGAATTTGACAATGAAAGACAAAGTCTCTACGCCCTCCATTCCTCTAGAGAAATAAACTTTCATATTGCCGCTTGGGATGGTTGACCAAAGTGACACCACGTGAGATGACAGTCAAATATGAGGCACCTCGTCTTCGGGACAAACGCTTTCACCGAAAATATATTGAATCAGAGGCTCTTCGTCTTCTCATTATTCAAAGAAACATGGAAATCACAGGCGACACAATGATCGCTACTACTGGATGATGACCGACATGCAGGTCTGCATCTTAAATGAATCACACTTCCAACAAATTGGTGATCATAGAAGCATGCCCACAGATTGAATCACAATCACTTCAATTCAAGAGTACGGGTTAGCTTTATGCGATTTATTCGCCCTTCTCCAACTAAACTCCGCTTCTTAGTTGCAATTTCGCCTCAATTAAAATCACAGAGAAAAATTCTTCATAAGCCATAAACTCACTTCACGGAAACACAATCGCAGACCACATCAATTATCGCCCACTAGACCCTTACAAGCAGCAGAAACTCTAATCACGATAGTCCTGAATTTACCTAATCTTGTACCACCTTAGGAGGAAGAAGTAACAAAGAAAGCAATACCAAGGTAAGCCTTTTAAAAAAAGATCTGGTTATGGGGATATCTACGCCGACTTGTTCAACTGAGCCTATTTGCGACTGGAATTCCAGAAAGCAAGACAGTCCCAAATCAACCCAGGTTTCAACTTTGTTAGCGTTGCTTCGAGACAACTTGAGTGTTAATTGAGACTGCCACATTCAGTAACGAGACAGGCTTGACAAAATTTTACTATGGTGATAGTGGAGCAGTGGAGCACCAACTGCAAACAGAAGTGCCACGAAGTTTACACCAATTCAGGCACAATGACAATGCCATCTCGCAAGTGTGACGTTTAAATCTACCGTATCCAAAACTTCCTGATCACGGGAATATACTTTTTCCTAGGCATAAGATCAATCACCTATTTTTAGAATTAGACTAAACTTCACACACAGTTGAAACATTTTTCTACTTTGACCTTGGGCAGAGGGAGCATGGTTACGACATCAAATGCTTGTCCGACTTCCAGTCAATAGGAAGCCTCAGAGACGTCGGTCAGAGTCAACGGACTACAGCCACTTTCCAAGAATTCTGTGACTTTTCTTGTCACCACTCATATCGTTCCTCACCTTATTACCCCCCGTCGGATGGGGAAGCAGAGTAGTATACATATTCAAGCAGACTACTGAAGTCACGAAAGTAGGCAACTGGTAACATCCTGTAGGAGTTATTACAGCCTTACCAGGCGCCTCTAAAAGATAGTTTGGAAAGGACAATCACCAGCCGAGGGGGTAGTAGGATGTAGACTTTGCTCAGCTAAGACCGTGACGATTACAGGACCACAAAACTACTCCGAAAGCCACCCAGTGGGAAATTCGGCGCACTTTTAAGCAAATATCGCCCTACACACAACCATTAAAGTGCTGGTCAAATTGTACATAAATGTCGGAATCGGCACCGAAACCAGTTGTTCCTGCGGCGTGCTGAAGAACTAACAGCTCGACATGGCACTATACCAATGGACGCCTTACAAAAACTACAACCATCTGTGCTCCCCGCTCCACAGACGGGGAAGATATAATCAACCCCTCATTGAACTATTCCGTCTACGAAGACGATGGAACAGTAGACGTAGACACAGGACACACCTTCAAGATGAGGCAAAAAAACTCCCCTAGATTTTTTACGCGGAAATGTGCCGGAGGTGTTTTTAATTTCACGTTTGAAGAATTTATATCATTTTGGAAAATCCAAAATCCTCCTTTTGCGAGCTTTTTGGAGCGGTCAATTTCCCCTTATGATGCATCACATGCATGTTGATATTTCCCTCCGTGTTAAGGTCCTTTCAGGGCATAAAAGTGAGAGACCTCAACAACCGATTTAACCCAAACTACTCCAAAGTTATTGTCTTGTTTGGTGTTCAAGTGGGATCACAAGAAACCAAGACTTAGGCCAATCCTTAGAAAGCTGTTAGACCATATCTGTGCTTAATACACGGACTCAATTCACAAAAGCGAGAAAGCACAAAGGAGAGAGGAGAGTGAATAAAGAAAAAGTGAGAGATCAAAAGGGGGAAGAGAGAGGAATGAGGAGAGATGAATGAACGGTGACTTACGCGACGCTCTTCTGGGGAAAGTCGCTTCCACTGGGCCATCGCGTCTTCAACAGTCTCACCGAAACTGCGCTGTATCATCGCCGTCGTGGGTGGGGAATGGTTACTCGCAGCGCAGAGAGTCTCGTGGAAAAAGATCACAAAGGAGCGCGGTAGTCTATAACAACACAAGCAGACACAGTTAGATAAACAAGGTGATCATTTGTCTCTATCGTGGCGCCTTATCTTAGCCCAACACTGCAACTACCTCGGAGGATCAAATTACTTAATTGAGTGGCTTCGATTATTTTTGAATTTGAAGCTTCCACGATGACACATACTACATCACTATCGTGGTACCCCTCTAGAACACAATCGACTTCCTTAAAATGACATCTAGATGTGTAAATAGACGCCTGAACTGCTGTCATAAGATATGCCCTTGATCGCATCGAGTCAGTGAAATTTATACCAATTACACATATAAGTAAAAGCATACTAGCGAGTTAAGTACATTAGTCCAAGTATCTGACTGCGAGGTTAATTTCTTAAAAACAAATCCACTTCCCGATCGCTTTGAAAAAGGACTATGTATCGCGTAATTCTTAAAAAGAGAGAACGACGAAAATAAACCATTTGAATTTCAGCCTCGAACAGAAAAGAAATTGGCGATACACAACTGTTGGTAGACATCGATGCAACTGGTCTTGACACAAAGAATAGACCACGCAAGAGACACAACCAGTTGTCAGGATTACATATTTTAAGTATGGGGAATCTATAAGCAACCACAGGTCCTCTTGAAATTAAACTGTAGTACTTTGATTGGTCGTTTGACTCTTCGAGCAGTTAGGCTTTGCCTCTGTATTTCCGCTGGGCGACATGCCCTTCGAGCCATGCCAGCACCCTCTGTACGTCGGCGTTACATATTCTGCCCTAGCCTTATGACTTTCAACCTCAGGAAAGTCGCAATGACTAATGTCAGCCGAAAAGAAACTTTAATACTCAGTTTATTTGAAATTCGGTAGTGTAAACGAACAAATTTCTAATGCAACAGTTTCTTTAAATTGGCGGAACTCGACGTCTTCCCAATTTCGCTTCCGCAGTGGACATCACGGCTTTCACAACTGTTCTCCACAATTTAGTGAATCGGACGTACCCCCAAATTGTGCAGTCTTTATGGAAAAAGTAGTTGTAAACGACTCAAGGCTCCGTACCATCAATTACTACAAATGTGACCTATCAGGGTAAGCTAGAAAGCGACATTATCAAGACCGGTGGTACAGCCGCAAGCAAATCGTTGGTAATGACGCAAATCTAGTGAAAAGAGGGTAAGAAATACGTCAGTAAAACAAACGTCGTAAACATACATGAAGTTAATGTCAAAGATATTAAGACCAGTGCTACAGATTACTTGGGAAGAAACAAAGAAGAACGGTTTAGTGAATTTCAGGTGGGTCAGCACATTGTTTAATTACTTGGAGATGCTTTCGAATCACAAAGATCTTGAAACTTAAGAAGGAGACTTACAGAGTTTCCTGAAAAAGTGGACATTCACGTGCCGTTAGTGCCCCCTTTCCCTTCCCGGCGCTTCAACTTCTTCGAAAACTACATCCTTTCAAGAACGCAAATTGCCATAGACATTTAACTTCAAAGCTGAAAGATGCGGCGTCGACCTTTCACATTCCAAGCTTGGACGACATCTGTTTTGTAATGGTGAGGATTTATGCGAGCAAAAGACGCGGTATTTGTCGAAATGCACTACTTTCGAGTCTTTACTTCTTTACAATTTAAAAACTGAGGCTAATTTGATTTTTAAAAAAGCCTAAAATAGCAGGAATCCGAGCTCTATCACAGCAGTCACATGTCTTGGTGTCTAGCACTTCAAGAACAATCGAAGTTGACATTAGTCACATTAACCATTTCGAAATTGGTAGAGATCTATTCTTCGGCTTATGAAATTGCCTCTGGTCATGGGAGCCAAAGTGATAGCTGTCAAGCGACTTCCGTCAGACTGCCGCGAGGATTTAAAACGGTGCAGCCACAACCCTGCGATCCAGTATCATCAAATTCATATTTACGTCCGCAGTTAGCAATAAAATGTAAAGAATCCGATTTGAAAACTTAACCTCAAGTGTACACAGTGAAACGATCTTCCAAGAATCTGATTTCTCCAAGAGGACTTTGTATTAAACGCTTGCACTTCAATTTTAATGGTAGTTGTCCTGATGACCATGAAGGAGGAGTATGATCAAAAAGAGGCAAGAAAGGTAACACCCTTCAATGTATGCATCTTAGACGAGATAGTCAACATTCAACGCAGTTTCGTTGACAACTCAAAAATGAAGGGGAAAACCGGTGAACCATTCAAAATCTCCTATTTTGTCCAACTATTTCAAGCAGTAAACCAAAACTTGGGATTTCAGGAAAGAAAATTCACAAAGACTTAAAAAGTACTTGTTGAAAACGAACACGCACGTACCATTATTAATTATTTTTGCTTTGTGTTTTACATCTTTAAAATGTTGTGAACTCATGAGGACATACACAGTGCATGCGATCTGCCAGACATTCTGCCAGCCAGCGATGGGTGCATGCTACTAGTCCAACACATTCCAAGCGTTACCTCTCCAACTTTTTCTAGTGACAAGTTATGAATTAAAAGTCTGGAAAATCATGAATAGAAGGTAACGGAAGATGTATCACGATGTCGGCATACTCTGTTGCCGGAGACTTAAAGCAGCGTATCCAAATAGCACGCTTTTGATACACGCCAGCGAAGTCTTGGAGCAAGATTATCAAAGGTCTGAACTATGCCTCGACATCTGCACAGCCACACTACCTCAGAGCCTAAAACATCAACCAAAAGTGACAATGGCTAGGTCAATTTTGGCAAAATCTTGTCTCAGACACAATTTTCGGTCTAATCGCAGTAATGTCTCACAAGTACTCCACTTTGTTTTGAATAGCCTCGCCAAATGACAATTGCGCCTATCATTGGCGTGGTGAGATTCACAAATGAAGAAAATCACTGGAAATGTGCTGTAAAAATCTCAAGAGCTGAAGTTATCCAAGTGTTTTTCTGGTGTTTATGAAGTGGAATGTCTGCGTAGAAGAGGCGAGAAATGTCACAACGACTAACATTCGATAACTTTTCCTGAAATGGCATGGAACCTATGAAGGCTTTTACTCTATACACAACGAGTGTAGTAGCAAAGCTTGTTACTTCACAAAAACGGTCCTGAGAAAATCTGACATAAAGAAACAATTTTGCAAGTTATTCAAAGGAGGGGCAAAAAACTTAAACTTTCAAGCTTTTTTCGACCGTTTACAAACAACATTTGAATCCAAGTAACTTAGGCATTCATACCTGAAACCCACTTAAAGTCAAAGAACAGAGGCAAAAGATGGATGCGAAATCTGTTCTGCATTACGACACCTAGAGGAGCTGGAAACCTGCTCTTCGAATCTAAGCTAAGACTGCTGCGAACACAATCTTCGAATACATCACCAAGTCCATTGGAAAACCTCAAATAGTCTCCTCTAGTAGACTCAGCCAAGAATGCTCTTATCCGATCAAAAAAGCATCAAAATCGCTCAAAAAGACATGAAACTTGAACTTATTCATCAAAAAGCGCCAATTTTCATTGCATAGACTCACCTTCTTACGTAGTCTAGTAAATATTTCAATCAAGAAAAAAATTTACCTCATTTTCTTGATAATCATAAGGCATACATTCTAATAAAAGAAGAAAGGCGAGACTTCACCAATAACGACCTGTAAAACCGTCTCTCAGCAAATTTGACTGAACCTGTAAAGAACGCCAGAGTGGAGGTAAACAGACGTATCTAGAGGGGCGGATCGCAGAGAGACGTCGATAACAGCGACTTAAATCCGCTGCAAACACGTCAAACGCGTAGCCTTCAACGCATACTACTTAGAAAAAAAACCTATTACACAAGCAAAAACAAAAGATCCACCACAGATCCTCATGAATTCGACAAAACCGATGTTAAAGTTGATTTTACAAATGCTTCGAAGGTGATTCTTTCGTGCCACTTCTAAAAATAATTCAACCAGCGCCATTTAGAAACCCGTGACAAAAGAAAGCATTAAAAGTGGAGAACATTCGGGGAAAGGGGACTCAAACGCACCTTTAAGGGTACTTTGCGTGGTATGCAAACTCTGTCACCTACTTTAACCGCTCACGAATGCGCAATGCCCACGAACTGTTGGGTGGAAATGAACATTCGGACCGGTGAGATGTTCCACCGATTTTCCTCATTCAAAACTTCTCTTGTCCATGGACATTGGATTCAAAGTAATTCAGATTCTACTGTTTCAGAACATACAAAGTGGACAGAGAGGGGACTGAGGTTATGACACACAACCAGAGCACATCTTGTCATTTAAAATGGAGTAAAAAACATGATGGATGAAAGATTGATGTGAAGCTATTATCAGAAAACAGTTAAAAATTTTTAGTAAAAAGTGGTCTTAAATGCGACTTAAAAGACCAGTAGTACAGCTGCTTCGTTGATAGAAAAATTTGCCAAGCAATCGCTAAGTAAAGTCGGACTTAGGGAAGCTTCAAAGTATAATCAAAATAACAAAGACGGTAAGAAAGCAGAGAACCCAAAGACCACTTTCCTACTTCCACAATACTCACTTTTCCTTTTCTTCGAAGACGGAGGATGAATGAGCGCGACGGAGTTGTTGAAGCGTACTGGAATTTAGCAACTAAAAGAGAAAATTTGATAAAAAGGACGACATCCTTTTCATATCCAACTAGTGACCCCCGTTTTTCAGTCCCCAGTAAATGGGCTCTACTCATGTCACATACAGATAGTCTTCCCTTCAGGGATGTCAGGGGACAATCTGGAAGTACTTATCGAAATCGAACCTTTCATATTCAAAACACACGGTTCTGGGATAAAAAGTAAACTCCGAGATGACTGACCCATCTTTCTACAGTTCACGCCTCTGTTCATGTTGACAGTCAGCCAGTTGATTTACTTTCTTGATTAATCTCCACAACGTAACGGTGACAATACTGGCATATTTGTATCTGTTAGAACTCATCCGCCATCCTTCAATACTGTTACCGTCAGTAATCGTTTCAGGTCTGTCTCATGCGAGCTAAGGCGCATTTTTAATCACAAAAGCAAGTGATAGAGAACGCAACTTTTTGAGGAAGCCACCAGCCATCTTGACAAAAGTTAGCTAAGTGAACTTATGGACCAGGTGCGACAACTAATTGAATATTGAATGCCCATTGTAACTCGTGACTATATCTAATAGCAAGTTTTTGAACTGTCGATAAATAAAAATATGTTGATATAATTAAATCAGTTTCTTTGCAAAGCCGACAATGCAGCAGTGCATGCATGTTCAAAATACCAAAGAAAGAAGGAAGCGTTTAGTGCGAGGAGGATACGATTAGCTCACGAACGTAGATAAAACATTACGGGATGTTAGTTAATGCTTTGGGTAAGAAATCTCCTTCTGTTAGGTGAATTTAGTGTCTCAGATAAGATTTTGATTCGAGGTTGGGCATCAAGCACTTGTAAACTTAATACTATCTTTGGAAACTGAACTAACGGTTTTACGTACCTTGAGAAGGCTCATATGACCGAACTTTGACATGAGGGCAGCTACGTTTGCTTTCTCCTCCTTTTTCTCGTTAGGTTCGTCAGTATCGGAGGAGGAGTCGGAGGAGGGCGGTGGTGTCGACTCGTTGGTCAGATCGATAACCCCAACATCGCAGGCCGGGAATGGAGCGATATCCGCTCGCATCTCCGACTAAAAGGCAGAGGACTTATCCAGGAGCAATGAAGGTGACCAATCCTGACAATCGCCTGAGTGCAGTCCATTTCGACAAGGAATAATAAGGTGCGCAGCAGAATAGTATTCTACTACGTGAGCCTTTTAGTTGTTCGAGAAGCAACCTCCACAATGATAGCATGAAACCCCACTCATGCACCCATGTCAATTCAATACTTTTCCAGCCCTGCAGTATATTGATAGAACTACTACTTCCTAAAGCTTTAGAGACGACGGCAGTAAGGTAGCTCATTACAAAAAGAGCAATAACGCAAGCAATGAAGTCTGAGGACTATGCTTAAACACAACAGAAAGAGCCTTCAGCAACAGATAGGTGGATCTGCTGAGATCTATGACCTTAATATCGTGGATTATGAAATGAATAATAACAAAGCAATACAAGAATAGGAAGAACTAAAAGCATTCATTACTATCCGATTTATGAAAAATTGACACTTTCTCTACACCTGCAGTGGCAGAATAGAATCCAGGTAGGCGGAATTTAGAAGAAACGGTTTGGCAAGAAGGAATGAGTGCCACACACAGTGCCGTAGAGTTGCCATTTGTCAATTCGAAACCGAAACCAAGCACTTTACGGTATTCGTTTATGGGCAAATGTTCGCATGAATTGACGCACGAAATACGCTCGTCGGGAACAATGATACGTCTAGAGTAACACCAATGCAATGATTCGCCATAATAGAAATCTCAGAGAAGGCAGCTGAATAGCTCCTTGAAATTGACAAAGCGCAACACTATCACTGAGGCAATGAGTCTTTCCAGTGTGATGCAGTATTACCGTATGCCTTCCGTTACTTGTCGTGTAGGCGGTCAAAACATCTTACTACCTTTTAGAGAGTGAAACAGAGGAACTACCATGGGGAGTGCTACGAACGACGCCCATGGGGAAAGGAGGGCCGTGTGACAGAACAAGTATTTTCACTACATCTAGACCCATAGACTGCCATATTGTGGGCTGATAATAAAGCCGCCTACCTACCCATATGCCCAATGATTCCTCTAAAAGTAACTCATGCTGCAAACATCGGTACCCAATTAGATAAGTCAGGCCTTGTCAAAATACTGCCAAGGTGGTAAGGTACGTTAGACGCCGTTCGCCCTCTTAAGTAAAAAAAAAACTTGAGAAGACATAAAACAGCAAAACCCAGTATTCTCAAAGGACTCCATTTCAAACTAGAATGACTCGCATCACAAAACTTGAAAGATAACACAAGTGTATTTTTTATGGCGGGTCGGTAGGGCGTTACATACCGTTAACCCCCCAAGAAGAATATTATTTACTTTCGAGGAAAGCGTTTTGGAGGAACGACAACCGACGCTGATCACTAAAACAATGTAGACTCACAAGAGAGGAATCAAGGAAACCATGTTCAACTTCCCACTTCATATTTATTCTGTATCATGATTAGTAACAGCGAATTAGATGCGTAAATCTAGTTAGACACCACAAAAATTCTGGGATCAAGTACCTTTCCAGTGGCGCAAGAAGCTAACAGCAAATCATAAAAGGAGCTAGAGAGAACGGAAACAGAGAAAGGTAACGACAATAGGAGAGTCTGGATACCTACCTTTCATCAACCGCTTCACTTCAATGAGCTGTATTATTGCTTCAATTTTCTCACTATATACGGTGGACACACGAAACGCGAAGGACTTCATTCAGCCCTATTTGTCAAAATTAGTTTCTAGCATACAATTCACCTAACAGTGAATACAAAATCGAGATTAGATGAGTCAGCAATCACCTAAATGCTCCACAAATCCAGTACGTCATCTTCGTTTCCGTCTAGTGGATGGTTCCAAAGCAGAAAACAAAGTTGGTCCCCATTAAAGAACAGATTACAGATTTAGTTAAATAGACCTATCTCTCTAGAGCACTTCTAACGATTACATAAAAAAAACTACTAAAATCCAAAGCTATGATACTCCTACGAGTTTCAAGACTGTGAGGATGACTCAGATGAACGTTTTGACAGAATCTAATTAGTAAAGTGGAAATGAGGTAGCCAACTAGTGATAGAAACATCCTGGAAAATGTGTAAAAGTCTACAATGTAGGGAAAAACTATGTCGACTCACAGCAAATGCCCAGCTCATACTCGATCTGCAACATGATTACTAGTGGAGAAGGTTGCAGAATTAGAATGGAAAAAAACTATCAAGCAAAATCCGAGTACCTGGTAACATTCCAAAGAAACAAGAAGTGGAACACAGCTCGTAATAACTCCTACAGAAATCAAAAAGACAACTAGGTAAGAAGTAGGGGTTTTGAGATGTGTAGAAAGGAAGTAACCGCTTAAAATATCCGACAAGTTACGAGAAGCCGAAGATATTACAAAGATGAGCAGCAGCACAACCGAGGGAAAAAGGAAATGGCTGAACAGAGAACCACCCTATATTTACCACCATAAGCCGATTACTGACATAGTATTAAGCTCTAAAACCTGACAGCTTATGGAAAGCGGACAGCCCAAGAAAGACACCTTTCTAATCGATTCAGTTAAATAAAACTGGCAGACCGCGATTCAACCACGGTTAGAACTGTTTGTGATGCTTCAGCTCTCAAATAGCATTCCAACTGGAAATAAAGACAAGGCATACAAAGGGATCAGGCAACGAGTAAAAAAGCTTGAGAGAAAAGTGTCTTCACCCACTGGAGGCATAATGGCTTCGAAATCGTCAATATCATCCTCCTCCTCATCCGAGTTGTAGGTCGTGATAAGAGGCATTTTCTTTTTTGGTGGCTCATTCTGCTTCACCCTTGGGGAAGGATGTTCAACCTCCTCCATGTTTCTAGGGGAAATTTGAGAAAGGCGTTACATAATCTAAGCCGACCATACAAACGATTCATATGCAAATATACAAAAAATGAAAACCACTGTAGGGTGGAATAATATTCACAATAAAACAAATGGAATCGAAGTACCTAAGGCCAAAACATGGGAAATAAGCAAGCTATAACGCTTTTGAAGACTAAGTTATCGAACTAAAGGAGCATTGGATAAATAAGACGTGCGATACAGTTTGCAGATGAAATATAGAATGTCATATAATTACATATGAGATACAATAACCACGTGTCATGATACAAAAAATCAGCGGTAGAATTAATAAAACTCTGTCTTAGCCTACAAAAGCATTGTAAACATTTACCACAGGGGCTAGTTGGACTGATTTACCGACCAACCGTGTATGAGCAATAGCAATTGGCAAAATGATTGGATTAATCATCTGACTTGGTGACTTACAAATGTCGGGCAGTAAACCACCTTATAAAACATCATAGCATAAATTTTAGAGCAAAATTTACGTGCATCAAACAAAACGAAAATTTGTGCAGTGGTTTACGCCTGAAAATGCTGTTGTCATGGCTATGTGTAGTCAAGCCATCAGGAGTAAATAATATAGTTTGCAAGCAGAGATTATTTTGAGATGCGATTGTGAATCTCAGCTTAGTAACGAATGCATCAACGTTTGTGTTTTTGACTAATGATGTGCTTGTAAATAAAATTGGACCAATGCATTTAAAGAAATTGCTATTTTGCCTTTGCTGCTTATGCCTTGGTTTGATAATACTGAGTGTACAACAAATTCGGTCACAGCATTGGGTCTTTAAAGTCATAGAAGTACGTCATTTTATCGTCAACTGAAATTCCTTTGTTTGCTATCTCCGGAGCCCAAAAGTGGTCATATGGGGTGAGTTGTTGGAAATTGGATTTCGTTGTCATTGGTTTCGCAGTTAATCGCGAGGCGTTTTGAGCATGAATATATTACTAACTAAAAGGCTACGCAAGTTTATCTTTGCTATTCTTTTTTGCTTGACTGTGCAGAATCTGCATTCTCTTTGCCATTTTGTGCGCAGCGATTGAAAATTAAAAAATCACATAAAAATAAATAGACTAGCTTGGGTTACTTTTGACCTGGCGCCACCCACCTTATTAAGTATCGCATCATTGTAAAATCCGTGAAATGTTTAATAAAAGATTAAAGAATTACTAATTTTTTGACCAACACTTTATTTTCCTACCTTTACGTTATTGGCTCTAGTCCCCCGAGTCGTGGAAGGTCGCTGTAGTAAAGAATAAAATGTATTGCTACCATATGGAAGAGGCGCGAGGCTGCTGCCATGGTCCAAGGGTCATACCGCTTAGCGGAAGTACAGTCTACTCACATAATCAAACACAGATCTAAGCATGGTAAAACACCAAGCAAATTATTTGCGAGTACAACAAGGGATTATTTTGATCGAAAATGCATTAGCAAATGCTTTTGCTAAAAAACAATTTAAATTATTACGCAAGACAGTTTAGTAATTAAAATGCCATAATGTGCACGACAGAAGTGATAAGTTTACCTGTTAGCTGTTGAACGTTACCATTACACTCTCTTTAATGTGGACACTTTTAGGAAAATCCATACAAAGATCGACGTTTGTAGTGCTATGCTTCGGCCATTTATCTACCTCTTTATTGTGGTTTCGTGGGCGCTTAGGGCTCCGCCTTTGTACCTAATCTGAACGAAATCGCCCCCAGTCCATGCCAGTAGGCATTCCTCCCAGTTTTTCCATATGTCGGCTTTTATTCGTCTTCAGGAAAGACTCAAACCGCCTTAAATGATTCAATTCTTGTCGATCTTGTTCATGATAACATCACCAAAGTAAAAGATTTAGTAGCACTTCTGTCCATTTGCTTGTTTTAGTCGGGCATTTGACTATGCGGGTTTCTCAGCCTTCATGCTTCCGGATTCCATCTTGGAAATCGAATGAATCATCTTCATCACATCTTTCCGGCAGCCTTTTTATCTAATTATTAAGAAATTCTCTGCAGAACTGCATAGCTTACTGGATGCTAGTGAGAACTCAGGGCGATATAATACAGTACTAAATAATGTCCTAAGAAATAACACCGTCACAGAGCTCTTTAATTTCTCCAAAATCCAAATGGTCATTGAATATAATCTATGCCAGCTGAAGCGCCCTAAGTCTTCTCCATAGTCGAAGGAAGACACAATCCTGGGGCAGAGTATGTTTTGTTGACGTACGGAAGGGCTGGGAGGCTACTGCCATGGCCCAACCACCACGCCACCCAGCGGAAGTAGAGAGGCAGAGCCTAAACTTCCCGTGATGTCAAAATGAAGAGTGAACCAAACAGCCAAAGCATTACACAACACCTCAATAAGGTCGATTCAGTTAAGTAAGTCTTTTAAAAAACATACCTACAATTGCGGGTCAATTATAAGGCAAGTGTGCGGTAATTTGAGTTACCCAGGTGACTGTAACTGTTCCCACAGGGCCGAAGTGTTTCCTAATTTGTTTAGAAACATGATTCTCGTACACAGGCACATGGAAGTCGTTTGCTACCGGCGTCACATTGCGTGTCGACCCACCTTTCGCCCTTCAGTCCGTCGTCATTAAATCGTGACACGCGTTAAGTGTCAGTTTATGATGATAACTGGCTGCACTCAAATTAAGTGTGTTGGTAAAGAATAAAGCCGGTGTAGGGCACTTCCTATCCGAGGATCCTGCCATACCTGTGTTCTTGAGAAGCGGGATAAGTGACAGGGTAGACCAGTCCGGTAAAATCTTGATTGTAAAAAGTCGAAAAGAATGGCACACTGACAGCGCAGCGGAAACCTAATATCAGGAGCGATTCTTTTGAAATCCTTCATCGGCTTCCCCCTTGGACACTGCTCTGCTCTAGGCATTAAGAGATAGGTGGGAAAGAGACGAAGACTGTACTATGTTTTCGTATCACTGCCAGATAACTTTCGACTACAACGATTACTTACATTACAAAACGCATCTCGGGGATTCATTTGTCCGTTCTTGGCTAAGGTTAAACGATAAGAAATAAGAAGTCAGGAGTCGTTGTATTACAAGAAAAAGTAATAATTTGTTAGTCTGATGTTTCCTTGTTCCCTAGCCAACATGGACAGCTCTTGAGTGGCGTTGATGAGAAAGTTGAAGCAATGTCATTGGTTCATCTTTTACAAGAACCTGTCCATCCAGCCAGTTGGTGCAGTATCGGGATTGCATAAGACCACGATCCGCGTGAACCGAATGACAAGGCAACAAGATGGTAATGGCGACCTACGAAGATTCAAATTTCTACGTTCTTAAGTAAAAATTAAAACAAGTGTCGATTGGTTTATCATTCAGAGTCGGTCACGACATCCATGGGCCAGAAATATGGGTTGCTCAGTGACCTTTCCATCAATGCAAAAATAAATTTTTTCTCAATACTGGTTATGTATCTGGGTACACAGCTTCCTTCTCTTTGAGACCCTCAATTCCGAGATTAATCGCCTTGGGTTGCATAAGGCGGGACAATGATCTGCAAAGCATGGTCCCTATATGTCAGTCACTGCCCAACCGCAGTCATTTTGTAAAGCACATTGGTTAAAGTAACTTTGAAAAGCAAATGTTATGCATTCATTTCTCCTCGTTTTCTTGTTCCCCTTTTCAATGCTGCCCAATCGTCAATCTAGAAGAGTACTGAGGCAATTTGTCCTCCTAAAGACGCTAAAGGGTCTCTCTCAATTGTTCAAGCCTAATACTACTGTCACTTCTTATTGTAAAGCATGTGCTTGAGGTATTCGTCGGAAGGTGATGTAATTTGGGAAGCGTTGTTAATCTCCATCAATTCATCTATCGCCAGCAGATACCCGCCTTTCGTAAAGTCCAAGAAAAGCCTCAGTTATTGTTAACTAGATGCGGATTCACCCTCCGCTGTCAACAATGTTGAGCCCGAGATCTTAGTGGATATGTTATAAACCATACCATTTCGGAAGGAACTTTGCCACCAGCGCCCAGACGAGCTGGCACAGCAGTGATTACCTCCACTCCCCTAAATGGCTACCATATCGCGGGAGACAGGGGAATGTAAGATAAGCTGGTAGCTGAAGACGGCCAACAATAATTCGCTAATAAAAACACAACACAGGACCAAAACACTGCTTCGGCTGGTCACAGGATTGACGAATTAAAGCACGCAAACTGTCATTGGCTAGCCCGCGATTACGACGGCTTGACCCACTTGCACACACACGCACATGCTACCATAGACGACGAGGCCGGGGACGACGGGAATCATCACACCGACGACACGCAGTGGTGAGTGGGATAGAGCACAGCTAAGTGAGCGGCGGCAAGTGTGTTTCTAGCCGAATCACACCCTACCTGGATTACACAGTTTGCCTTCCAATTTGTACCCTTGCCCCGATCTTCGAGTACGTATATCATAAAATCTAGAAATATTCTTTTTCTATACATAGACTGTCATGCATTTATTTGTTGAGTAATACCAGCATGGGTTTTTTCGCCCATATTCACCATCTGAGGCACCATAAAAATTTATTTGAGTGTGATTACGAATTACCATCAACTATTCCCATGGATAGGTAAGATATGCAAGACTTTTATCCCACATAAATTTTCCCTTTAGTTGTGAATATTTACAAATTTACTTAAGGCTATTTTAGAAAATCTAAATTTATTAAGTCATTCATTCCTCATTGGACCATGATTAACCCTGAAATAAATCTGTCTAAAAAGTAAATGTGTACTAGAAAAAAACTTAAATGCTTTTTGGAGAGAAAGTGATTGGCGCCATTTGCCGGGTGCCTCTCTGCCTCAAATTTTGGCAAAACATCATGATGCATTAAGTAGTTTCATTAGGCGGGGGATTTAACGACCTCTCAGTAAATAATAACAATCTCAATGCTCAAATGACATCTTTTTACGGTGTGGCCGCAAATAGGCGATTTCCCACCTTAAAAATTTCAGACATAGCACTCGTTGCAGTAGGTGAAGAGGGGTAGCTTTCATCTTTCTTTCCACGGTGTAACATTTAGGAGTCTGCCTCCAACCAGACCAGCCTAAACTCTCTCTGCTCGAAACCTAGAAGAAAGAAAACTGCGAAAATCTACTTCGCAGACTTTTTTAAGTCACGCACACATTTTCTCCTATCCGCAATAAATACAGAAGTAGTATTCAGGTATTTAGTTTTAAAAGAATCAAAATCTGACAAAGTGAGGAGCCTTAGCCACCAGGAACTTACCCGTCTAAAACTTTCGACGATATGCGATGATATTTTACCCCTCCCATGTAGGCGATTACGCAAAGGCGTATTTTTCAAAATCCGAAGAAAAAGTATTCGTTTTGTATGCACCAGTAAATTCGCCTGCTAAAATGTCAGCACACTTTTTGTATTGTGTATTAATCGCAACCGAATGGTTAAAAGTTGCTGATCAAGTTTAAATGCATGAATAAATGCAGCGAGGAGGCAGAGTTAAAGGGGCGAAACTTTTGCAAATAGCTTGTCATTTATGTGGGGAGGGGAAAACCTATGTATGCACTTCGAATAAGCAAGTCAAAGATCAACTTTTACTCCTAGCTAATTTTCTCCTCCCTAAAGAATAGTTTTTAGACCAAGAAGTGCGAACCACATGTTTGGCAGTTTCGCAACAGCAACAAGATCAAAAGACATGAAACTCTAAACCTTCAATGCATCATTTTTCCTTAAATAAACCTATTTTTCTGTCTAAAGTTGAGTTTTGTGATCCCCTAGATATTCACCCATCTTTGAGGTAAAAATTTATCAACACTTTTTGTAGGATTTGTTTACCTACCTTAAGTCAAGGAGTTCTTTTTCCATCCAAGTCATTAGCTTATTTTTTAACTAAGCATTCTTTTTTCTTATTTATGCATGCCGACTCAGCAGTTTGTTTGGTGAATCTAGAGTTGAAGGTCATTGGGGCTTCTGAGGCACGCTTGGAGTAAGGGGAAAAGGTCGTTCAGCACAAGGATTGAGTGCGTAAACTGATGCTTGTTTGTTTCGAAATTCCGGAGATGTAGTCGAATTTTACTGGCACGAAAAAGATAATCGAAATTTGTTCTATTAATTCGAACTAATAACCAGCTTGTAAATTGTTGCTGTTGACCAAAAACTTTCCATTTCTCAGCGCTATAGAGTAAAATAAAGGTTAGAAAAGGGTTTAGCCTACGTATTTATCTAGAGGAGTATGTTGGTGAGTGCAGATTGGTAATTTTTTTAACAAATGACCCCTGGAATTAGCATATTTTTCATATACTGAGCCAGTTCAGTAGCGTCGGGGTTATTCAGCAGGGGAATGGATGTTATGTTTGAGATGAAGGGTTTTGTTGAATTTATGAGTTTATGAAGAGGTCCGCTTTTATTCCTTCTTTGGCAACGGGTGATGATGTAAAGTAATTGAATGACACCCCAAATGTGCATCCAAATAGGTATGTCCATATATACTAAGATTTGCGCTGGACGAATCTATGACATGAAGCAGTCAACCACTTGAATTGTATGCACAAAAATGAGTTGAGATGCCATTTAAATCGCCTAAATACGACCCTAATTCAGAATTTCTGAAGTAAACGAAAAAAATTTCTGTGCACGAGGTGATCAGACTAAGCTTATCAATGTATTTGATCCTGTACTTATCGGAGAATGCCTCATTTATGAAAGCGCCTTCATATCCTATTTAATCAGTTGATGAAGGCCTTGGTAAATGTGTGTTGGCACCCCACTTTTTTGCCTTAAGACAGTTTATGATTAGTCGGTTCAAGATGTTACAAGAAGACACGTGGCTACATGGATAGCGTCATTGGATTTTACATTTAAAGTTATGCAACTTGAATGTATTCAGCTGAAGTGAATCAAGCTAAAACCAACTTCTAGCAGCACAGGGTTGAATGCTATTTCTGATTTCACCCCAACTGCCTCTACGCACAGGGTATTAAATGTGAAAGCACTATCAATTGAAGCCGGTAATGTTCACCAAAATAGGTATTTTAAACTTCTTTGAGCAACTACGGGACTGGCTCTGCTTTTGAATCAAATTTCCCGCCATTTCACTACTTTTGAGTAATATTTTGAACAAGACTCTTATCAACTATCTTAGCATTTGATACCCTTCTGGAGTGGCGTTTTTACCAACCCACACCCAAACACATGTGAATTAGATATTTTGAGGTCAGTGAAGGTGGCGCCGACAATCTAAGGGTACAATCACAAAGAAGGAAGCTTCCAAGTGGAATGGAGGTCGACTCATATCTCCCTTGGTATTCTGACGCATACCAGCCTTCCAGAGGCAAGATTAGAGCACTACCTGATTTCTACGGCCTATTTTTTGGGTGTAGCAATATTTGCTTAGCCCAGATAGGTGGACACTGCCATTTTGTCGCTTTCACCGAGCGATGGGGCCCTTTTTAGTTTCTTTTATTTTCTTGGCAAACTAACAGGCTCTAATTTGGATAAATGAATGTGTCACAAGAGCTGATCTTTGGAAGCCCTCATATGTTTATATCACATAATCTCGAATTCCACAAAGAAGCTGAGTTTGTTCGAAGCTTTAAACCTAAAGTAATGAGTTGTTTTTTACATGGATAAGAAAAATGGCAAAAGAGCTGTAAGTCGGAGAACACTGCAACCCTTGTCTTCGAGTTTGACATTACACCGACATCATTGGATTTCATGGTCACCGCCTCAAATTGCATCAAGTAAAGCGCTGAGACGTATTCCTCTTAGGAGGAGAGCGCGTTCTCTTCGTCCAATGCCTTATACCTCAGAGTCGTAATTATCCCTTAAACACGGGTAGTAGAGCTTCAAACTTTTTGTCGTTTGTTCATGCCCACAGCGTATTGTGTATCCGCCTCAAGGGAGGATATTACGTCACTCAAATAGCCCTTTCCTTGTAAAAACTAGTCATTTTTGTGCTTTCCTTAAATACACAAAATTTTTGCCAAAAGACGAATCACCTCTGTCATGCTTGTCATTGGGCAACGCTCTGAAATATTCCCGTCTTATCGAAATGGCCCCGATGCACGGATAGTAAAGAACTCTTTAAAACTACCTTTCCTTAGGTACTTTGTGATTCTAAGACATTTTTAATCAAAGATAAATGACTTCTGCCGCATCTATTACTGTCCATTATGGCAAGATTTAAGTGCATTTATTACTTTACTTAAAGTGACAAGACGTGACTATCAGTGCTTGTCAATGAGATCAAAATATTCTTCAAGCTTCTCATCGGATTTAAAAGATATGCGACCAATGTTTATTAATTTTGGCAAAGCTTTTTGTCTAAAATCAATAAATATTTATAGGAACTGAAACTATTAATTTAGTTGGTCATATCGTTTTCGGTCAAAGGGTAATTATGAGCTGATTGTTAAGTGGTTTTAGAGGTAGTTAATCGCTAAACCCACAAGAACCTGCTACCCAAAACCACGAAAAACAGTCTAGTTATCTTCATGTACTGAGAGGATTCAGCACCCATCTCATTTTTATGGTCACATCCAATTTAGTCTAACTGCTTGCTTGATATAGCTTAGTAAATACAATGTCACATATTTGTGACGCTGGTCTCAGTTCTGAAATCGGGGTTTCATACAAATCTGGCTCTCGCGCTACAGCCATGCAATATGCAGAGATGTTTCTCTCTTACATCAGTACTTCCATGCCACAGCACTCAGTATCGAAATTTCCATTTATCTTGCGGACAAAGTGGATGGAGTTGGATGGGAGTCAGAATAGCTCCTACTCCTCCCCTTCCTCCTTTCTGTGCACCGTCTTTTATGTTTTGCATCTTGGATATACGATGACATTTTTTGAAGCACTTGCGGTCTGTAAGTGAACAAGAGGAAGAAATTGTAGCAACAGTTGCTAAACTGCTATCACCTTCATCTCTCCCACATTTACACTCACGTTCGACTCGCACATGAAATTCTAGCCACACTCCACAAAACGGTTGCCATTCAGAGGAAATAATTACCTATTTTGGGCGATGAAACCAAACTACCCTTTTGGTTTGTGATATTCCCTGAATGAAAACGCAGAAAAAGCATTTTTTAATATTTCATGGGTTCCAAGGATATAAGAGGGAAAGGTGAAATGTAACTTCTGAATGTGCTTTCCTTAACATACTATTCCATGAAGCGTTGGATTCACTGATAAGCTTTCTACATAAAGTAGGCGGTAAACTGTCATGTCGGCAGCATTGTAAAAGCCCTTTCATAGTTAATCAGAGGGACAACCACAAAAATGCCAGTACTTTAAGTAAACAACATCCTAATTCCCAAATAGGTAACTTCAAACGCATTAGTATGGTGTCGCTAGTGGAAACAGTGTGTCAAAAGCAAGAATATGGTTGACAATGCTTTCAGGGAAAGACACCTTTTTGGCTCAAAAGGGAACATCACTTCGCTTTCGACTGTAACGCCAAATTGGAAAGAATGCTACAAAGTAACGTTGCCAAAAAGACATGTCACTTTAATTAACTACCCAAGAAAAAAAATGCTGTAACGGTAACATTCCGATTCCGAAATTGAGGCTATTAGGTAATGGAGATATGGGGGAATCAACAATCAAGAATAGTACCACTTTGGCAGGAGGCCCATCATTTTCGCATTTGCAAACGTAGAAAAAGGATTTAAGGCAAGATAAATCATCAAAAATATACAGCTTTCCCTAAATTTCAAATGTGCATCTTTTTTGAGGAAATATTGTGGTTCATTTCACGACTCCATTAACTCATTGTTCAGCCAAGTACTTGTTTCTTAAACATGAAATATTTGTTTTGCAAAGTCGACTGCAAAAAAGTTCCGAATTAATTAATTTGAGAAAATAAACTCCGCTAAAGCTCAATCCAAATCTTGTTGAAAAATTAAAAGAAGGAATACGAGCTGTAAAAGTCTAAAACAGCGAGTAGCCTTTCAGGAATTTTGCCACTTTATTAAAGATCTAATTTTCAATGTATCATCTGTATTTCATAGAACCGCTAATTACTTACTACGGCAAATTCGTCAAGCCATGATCTATTAGAGGTCATTTTGACACATGAGGTTCACTAAAACACACTTGAGGTGCTGTTATTTGTCAATCTACACGAAAGTTAAGGGTATTTTACATCCAAAAACAAAGTAACCAAAATATTTTGAGTGTTTTAGCCCGATTTTTTATTAAACAATGCGGGTTGTCCAGATTATATAAACAAAAAATGAATAAATGAGAAGTTGTAAGTACACATTCTGAAATCATAAATAATACGAAACATTGGATTGAGAGCTCTATTATTATCTGAACCCAGCCCATCTCCCTGCTACTCACGATTTAAGGAGACTTTATCTACCAGAGACCAGTCAAAAACACATGTTGTTTACTTTGACTTTGCTGTCTTCTCTTCAACTGTTTGTTATAAACACGGGCTTTCATATTTGACGGCGCGATAAAAAAAACTATTCCATAACAAAATTTGGCAATTAACAGTTGGAATTTAGCCTTGCTCGCCATTTACCACCGGTCGTTAGGCCCGGGCTAAACGGAAGTAACGTCAAATTGAATCATCGCTTATTGACTGACTCCTAAAAAACTCAAAATAACAACTAAATGGCATACATTTCTAGCATTTACTCAATACTAGGCACCAAAATGCGCAGCTTTTAAACGTGCGGCAGCGTTATATAGGCATGCAGGCACGATGATATGCCACAAAAACAAAAGAGCCTTCTCCCTGGATGGGAACAGATGTAATCGTGTGTTTGCAAGTGACGATTACACATTCAGAGCGTAGATTGCGCAGTGAGGCTAGTGGAAACACGTTGGGAGGATCGACATTCCTAGGGAGGCTAATGACCAGTATAATTGGCCTCCCAGATAGTTGAATGGAAAATTTATTATCAATCCTCATGAATAAATAGGTGGCTTTTGATGAGACTCTTTAATTTCGGCCCACAAAATGACTTATTTTACTGTCTGTATGGAACGAGGCTTAGAAGGCCTCGAATTTTACAAAATTCGACTGTTTTTTCTCCAAGATATTTGTATAATCCTTCGCACTTGAGATAAAAACAAGACGAGATACTACCTATAAAACCGGCTCACTTTTGAGCAACTTCCCAAAACACGATAAATTTCCAGTTAATTAGAAAGCAATCTACTTAGTTTTAAAAAAAAGTGGGATCTGTCTACATGTTACGTCCCTTTAATTTGTTGCGAAGTCAAAAATTTAAAGTCGTCCCCAAGTAAAGAGGCCACAGAATTTCATCAAGGGGCTGAGAAATGCGGCCAAGTAGGCGGGAGGAAACAGGACGATTACAAACTGAGCCTCATCTCAACCACTTGTATTGTCCCGGAAGCCATTTCATAACATGAGGGCAGAGAAGTCGCAACTTTATTTCAAGCTTATGAAAGACCAAACAGACAATAAAGGCAACTAAAGTAAGCAGTGCTTTGTGTCATCTGGATGACAGTTAAAAAACTTACTTAAGGACGTAACACTTTGACTTCGTTTTGGTTTTGCGGGCATTTGAGGTTCTGCCTTCGTAATTCTGCTGAGCTGGATGGCCTCTGGGCCCTACTATTAGCCCTGCTCTACGTCGGCAATACATATTCTGGCCTAATATTATAACCTCTTTCGTCTTCAGGAAAGACTCCGTGTGCTGCATATTCGTATCCATGCAGCATTCGATGGTGCGTTATTCTAGTCTTATGAGATTCAAAGACACCTCTCGTGCCAATTTTAATGATAAGCAATACATCCATTACCGGAGATTACCGCCTTGTGAGGTCTGCCTTGGAATAGACCTGCTAAAAATCGTATGCTTTAGCTACGCAAACGTCTACTATGTCATCAGACCGGTCTGGTTGGGATTGTGCTAATGACCCCAGATGATAATTGCATCTGCCTGTTAATCGGCCTCGTTGATGTTGTCGTTGTTGTAAGGCAAGAATTTGACACCGCGATGAGTCAACAGCACTCCCGTGAAGTGGTTTTGGATTTCAACAAATCACACACGGAGACGAGGCCACGCTTTATAAGGCCGTATTCTTTTTCTGCCAAGGAAGGAGTGGCTCGACTGGGTGGCTTTTTGCTAATAGATAATAAGTTTCTCAGTCGGCGGCGATATGCGCTACTGAAACGAGGTGTTTCCACCGCCTAATACTTTCATAAATGATGTATTTACTCGACGAGGATCAACGACAAGAGGACATAGGCCATCTTCTTTGGGTCCATTCTTAGTCTGGGAGGTGTGACATCCACTCTGCACTTAATGCAAAATTAGCTGTAACTATGATATAAGGGGAAGAAAAGACTTCTATTTGTACTATAAGGGAGTAAAACAACGGAATGCGGACGACATTTTGTTGATGAATAAGGGTTTAAAAATTTCCAACAAAATTTTAGCATTTCAAATAATTCATCGATTAACTGCCCTACTGCAAGCCCGACATCTTACAGGCACTTGTGGAATGAGGCCTACTTTAGGTAGAACTTCATCAGATTTACGCATGATTGATGCTTGGCATTGATGCTGTCACTTGGAACGTTGATTTGAATCGCCTACATGATATACCAATGCCGACACGGTTCCTTTCCACTTGAAAATTAAAGACCTTTAACAAAGAAATTCCGTTAGTATCTTAACTTTTGCCTTTTTGCTTACCTTTCTGAAATTATTTTCTGTAAAGGCATCTGACTGTTTGGCAGCTTCACCGCAACTACTTAAATGATTTTTCAGTAGCTTACATTAAAAACAACAATAAATGACGAGCCTATTTGCTGCAGTTTTCATATTTTTTTAAGCTTTTCTTCCTAAAAGCACCTTACCTTTTATTTTGACGAGGATGGTTATAGCTGATTTGCATCAACTCGATGTCCAAGCAATGGAGATGTTAGCACCTGCCTAGCGAGTCTATCTTCATGTCTGCTGTTGAAGACTGCTAAAAACCGTGTTCCACTTTCACCCATCAAAATGTAAGATACACCAAGGTGACTTTTTATCCCCTATGATCATTATATTACAGTGGTTTAGAGTGAGCCTAAAGTGGTCGGACGGGTAGGGTGCCTCTAATGTACCTCCCCAGCCAGTAATCACTACTGCATTCGAAACCTCCTCCTAAACAGATGTGATCACTCTACCCAAATGTCTTGATTTTCACAAAATTGCAAAGAGCTTCTACAGGATGACAGTTATGAATGAATTTTGCGGTCATATTACTACCTCCAGGAAGCGGGAACATGAGGTGTTTGGGCGCTGCCCTGCTTCAGAGACGTGGGAGGCACACCAAGCGTAAATACGTACAGATGTCCACGATTGCACTAGTGGCATAGCCTCCTAAGATCCGCTGATTTGGGTAGTCTCCGAAGCTATGCAGAAGGTGGCTAACTCATTATGCCTTATATCCGTCTTGAAGAGAACACCGAAGAAGGTGATAATAATAACATACAACCATTGTTTGACCAGTGCAAGACTATTTTTTTCTTTTCTACTCCCAAGTTCTCCTAAAATATTCTTTGACACCAGTCCCGAAGGCGGTAGAGTGGGCAGAGCTTCATGTCAAAAAGTCGCGAGTGAGTGACACGACCTGATAGGAGAAGCGGCCAGAAATTCAGCCTTTGTTGATTTACTCATCCATGGCAGACACCATATTTAATTTACCATTCAGTAAGTCCATTTAGAGTGGCCTTGTTCAACCCTGCTACCATTGTAGTCTCCACGACTTTGAAAGACAAGTTAAGAGGCAACTTCCTTCACGAGGCGAAGGGATTTTCGTGTTACCAATATGGGAGGGACGAAAAACCTCCTCACTTTCATCACCCTGTAGAGCGTTTGTCTTACTATCATCTCTTCCTCTAGTGTCACTACCTAGACCTCATTCGAAGTATGCTTGATGGTGAATGGGTTGTTCTCGATTCTCCCCACAGTCCAAAATTTATTATTCCCTCACGATGACGAAATTCCTTAATAGCTGTCTGGCAATAAAAATCACTAAGACAGAATAATTGCCAGTCTGAGAGGGATATTTTCACACCAGAAGTTGCCCTATGCTAGTTCGTCAGCTTGCCCAACCCAATCCACATCCACCCATTCATCCAGACATTCGTCCCTCCATCCACACCTCTGCCTTTCATTCATCCGTTCAAGAGGCACCGGGCCGGATCTCTTAAAAAGCACCTAAACTTCCATTATTTTATTGTTTCATACATTTAACTTGTATCATTAAAAAGTGAAGAGTACTGCGAGTTTGTCACCGGATATCCCGATGACATATACTACAACGCAAAGTTTGAACACCTGAAATGACACTAAACCACTTGGCATTATGTTATGTCGGTGACATTTGTTTTCAAGACTTCATGTGTTAACAGATGAGATCACTTAATTTGTGAAGGAATAGACAAGTTGACATCCTCAGAGCTGCTATGACAAGTTAAGAAGACGAACAATTTGAAGAAATGAAGTCCTACAAATGATTTGCAGTGATCACACCAAGATTCTGAAGCATTCAAGATCAAGCCCTCACAGTGTTAATTTCTAATGTACTAGGTAGAAAAAACGGTTGTTTCTCCTGATGACAAATGTGACATGAAAAAGGGAAGCAAGGCTTATTTTTAACTTAACTGACAAGTTAATGGTTTGACCGATTGACATTACCGTATCCCCCGAAGTTGGCCTTACAGAGTCTAGAATTTTTAAAATCTGTGTTTCCAGAAAATTTTGGAGGCTTATTGTGAAATTCAGGACTCTTGCACTAACCTTCTGACTTGACTTTTTTGTCAAAAAAAGGAAAACCATTTCATTGAGGTCATCACCGAACTGAAAGAAAGCGGGACCTTCTAACATTCTGGAATAAACTTAAATAGACTAGAACTGAATGATTAAAAAAGACGGAATTCCATTTCTCCTTCACGTTCACTTCGCGAGAGGTGCAATGCATTTAAGGTGGAGCTTTTGTCTCCTTATCAGCAAAAACTCCCCAAAACCATAAATCATGAAAAGGGTTAACCGGTGGATCGGCTTAACAGGCCCAGTCAACAGTCGTTACGGCGACTTGGTAAAGGCACAGCTGACGAGGGAGAAAAGGCCCGTCTGCCTGTTTGTGTACTACTGAACGTTATCCTTCTTCGAAGTAAACCGACCTTGCAGAGGCAACTAGGTGTATCTCTTTGATCCGATTTACCCGACCCACCTTTGGAAAAGTCGCAGGAAAGGTAAATTATTATTAGAGGGGAAAAGTGTAACCGTAAGTTACACGAGGGATGAAAGTAAATTTAGCTAAAAATTAGGGGAAATTTGTTGGTGATAGGTCAGGATATCATTAACAAAATTAACAACATTCGTCATCAATCCATCCTGTGCCCACTTTTCCATCCCACATCCATCCTTCCAACCGTCCATTAGTTCGCCTCAACATCCAGCCACAATTTTATTCTTATCACGCTAGTTCTTGAAGACCACTAAACTTTACTGTTGAATAACGAGTTGTCTACGATTTTTCCATCAACTTCTTTCATTGTAGTTACCCTTTTCCCATTTCCTTTACCCCCATCCCCAATTTGTTTGGCTCTTTATGGAGACAAACTGAGCCCTGGGTGGAAATTGCATGCGTGTGTGACACATTAGCCCTGTCGGCTTCAAAAATAACTGACTAAAAGGCAATGAAATACGAAGCCGCACTAAGTACATCTTTAAAATGACCCAGTCAACCGAAGGTCGGCAAAGTTAAACTTGTTACGTTTCATAATCCTGGACATTTGATTTTGCGCGCATCAATTTGAAGTGTCACTTTTTATCACACATTTTTGCGTCCACCGATAACAAAAAGCCCTGTTTTGTTGCAGCAGTAATTAAAGGTGCGTTCAAATTGCATTTACCTTACAAGGCAGGGAGGTGCTCCCCTTCTTCATCCCCCTTTCTACCCATAGGTGAGTGGACGTGGATGTGACTAATGTCCCTGCCTAGCTGTCTGGTTTTCTAACCCCATCATCATCGCTAACGAAGCAGCAGCTGCTGTGTGATGCAGTCACCAAATAGGTAGTTCTTACTTCATCTTCCCGTCTCTCCCTCACTTAGGCGTCTTCATCGTGGACACGTTAGTGGGTATAAGACGCAAGTTAACACCTGAAGGCATAAAGCTTAGAGGAAAATATCTGAGAAGGAAGATAAGGCGTGGAAGAGAATAAGTGACAAACACATGACCAGAATCAAACTCTAGTGGCATGGATGCCCTTGAGAGGTGCCCATAAGTGGTAGATGGACCGAAGATGAGCGCATGGAGGATAATAAATTAAGGTATAAAAAAGTTGAAGAGCGTATGAATAATAAAAAGTGCGAATGGAGGGATGAGTAAGTAGGTGAAAGGTTAGATGGAGAGTTGCATGAACAAAAGGATCCGGAAGGAACAGCCAATTTAGAGATTAATGAATGAAGAGATAGATGGCTAGAGTGTTAGGAAGATGAAAGAAATGTAGGATGGTAAGACATAGAGATGGGGCCACGATGGAATGGTGGATCCAGGATCGTTTGAAGTGCAAGTAGATAAGAGTTGGATGGATAGGTCGGTTGATCAAGGAAACAAATGAGGGGTGGTTGGATGGATGGTGGAATGTTAAATGAAAGGTTGGATAGATTTGAAAGTGTCTGAAGGTGAGATAACGTAGTACCTCTTCTTCCGTTTGTCCCGGAAGCTCATTACAAAGGCATTTTTGTCTGCAATTGAATTGTGTTGGAACAAATGGACGCAGAGAGATTTTAGATCTAGTCAGACTCTTCGTTGCAGACAATGCTCTCCAGAGTTCACGCATCCACACAAAAGGCAGTCTTTTGGAGATGCATTGCTATGGTTGCTAGATGTGTTGGCTGTAAAGTGGGGGTAGTGGGTTGCTTCAGAATCAACCAACGGTATGCTCTTTTGCGCTGTCAAATCAACTCTACAATAGAGAAACACTTCTCCTTACATATTGTCCCCTAACCAAACTGTCTGAACAAAGCAACCTTCCATTTACTCACCGCCTTCCCTGATTTCCTCCTCCCACTTCAGACAGTTGTCAGCGTATTGGTACACTCCAGCTGACGTCACAATAATGGTACGTGACAGGTCATTCCTGAGTGAGCAGGACTGTCCTGCACGTGTTCCTATCCACACATTCCTGAGTGTTGCATCACCACGACCAAAGTGTTTAAGCCACCTAACTAGGTGGCACCTCCTCCAAAGGCTATGCTAATAATTGACGAGAATCTTCAGCAGCTCCACAACTCAACTTAAATCCGTTAGTGGAGTGGACAAACTATAATCACGGATTTAACTACCAATGCTTATTGGGAATTCAAGAGAAAGGGAAGAGTGGAAGGAGCACGACGAGGAGCGTCATCTCTGAAGTGGTTGATGCCGTACAGGCTGCTCGTTAGTTAGGATCCTTCATTAAATTTAGCAAATATTCTATACTTCCGTCAGTAATATGCCTCTTTGATTCCTCTCTGGGTGGAGTTTCATCCTCCTTACAAACTACGCTGCGCAGTGGCAATCGTAATAGTTAGTTGATGCCTGTCTCTGCCTTTCCGTGGAAGAAGGCTGTAACCATGACTAGAACATGTACCAAGGCGATTGAAGATTCTGTGAAGTTGAATATGCAGGAACCAACCCCCTCTGGATTGCAGTTAGCATCCTCCGCGTATTACGCATGCCCTTTTCAACACCTAATCCAACATGTCAGATTTTTTGCGGTATTTTTGCCGCACGAATTCATAAAAAAAGCAAAACATCCAGGTTGCTAAATAGACACGCAATCACAAAGACAAATAATAACACCGTCAGATTTGGGCGTCGGCGCCGGGCGATGCGCTGTAAATGAATACATTTGGATACTTTTGAATAGTAAAATGGCAGACTAAGAATAGAAAACTTTGTTCTAAATTTAAATTAACAGTTTTTTTCTCCTTACAACCACAAATTATCAGATCTGGAAAAATGATTGTAGTGCCTTATCGACCTTTTCTCTGCCCTGTTCGTTTTCTCCTTTTCCCAGGTACTGAATGACATGCGGTGCCACTTCACAACTCCCTTTTATTTCAGTTAAAATACAAATGCTGTAAACCATCAATTAGGTATCAAAAGAGTGACTGCAGCATTTGTTTGCCACATAAATCCTTTTAGCTGTAGGGACTTCCACTTACTCTAAGTGGTAGGTAAATTATTGAGAACGTGTTCTACATACACTTCCATCCTCACCCAAATTGGGCCATCAAGTCCACTTCTTTGTCTAACTGACTAAAAGCTGTTTTAATATTAATGAAAAAAAATGAGTTAAGCCTTTTTTGAAATGAATTGTGTCTCAGTATATCTAGCCTAGCAACATAGGCTGTAGTATCTCATCTCTCCAGTGTCGGCCTTCCATGGTGCGGATTGAGGGTGCTCTTCCTTGCACTCTTTTGTGGCGTTTTCTCCTTTCTAACGATCCTTTACTCCCAGATAAAATGAATGTAATGCTAACGAACCAGTGAGGGACATCGCTTAGTAGCGCTGACTGCGAAGTAGGCTCCTTTACTTTCCCTGGTTAGATTTCGGTGATTCAGAACGTGGCGACAAATTCGAGGCAGGAACAAGTGGTGTCTAATTTATGCACTACTCCGTAGGCTAAAAGGCATATTAACAGCAGCAACGTTTTACTTACTTAAGGTAAAAAAAATAAACGCCCAGCACCTTAAAAGGACAAATAGGGAGATGGCTACATTCGGCTTCCCATGCTGGAGCTAATTGGCCAAACATAAGGTTGTTGAATTCCTGTACAAAAGACGGTTCCAACTAAAGGAACTGATGTAAATGAATTTTTTTTAGCCAAAGAACAAAAAAATATAAAGTGGAAAGATAATTTATGGGCTGACATTGATTTTTTATACCCAAAATATTTACTTTTTCAAAAGGAATTGTCGTACCAATTTCATACTTGGTTTAGGATGAATAATCTTCCAATCTTTAGCATTTTATGGTAAAATTTGACAAATACAAGTCATTTTAAATAAATGACTTGACAAATAAGCCACAAAAAGTGGGCTGCTCTTTTCATGGTACGTCATTTAACACTATCACCTAAGCAAGTTGACCATCATATTTGGCCAAGTATTCTCTTCCCACTATGCGATGTTGGGGCTTGCACCACCTGGCTATTCCCTTCAACTGGCACGCAAGAAGGCATCAGTAGGCTCAGATCAATAGTATTTGACATCTGTATGGCAGTTTTGGCTCTATTAATCTACTACCAGCTATCATAACCTGATATGCAACGTGTCACGTATTTGTGACAGCCGTACTTAACCAAGAAAGGCATTTGCAAATGTGTTAATTTTCTTAAAATAAATACTTTCACTTCCTGCGTATCCTCTGCTAGAGTTTCCAGGAAATTCCATGCCTGGAGAGAAGAAGATGATTCAGCCCTAGGATCGGTTCTACAATACACATTTTGAAAGGGGATAAAAAGAACAAATTTACTTGCTACAGGCAGAAAAAATTGCCACAAAGTGTAAAGGAAAAGCCTTTTCTTTTTGGAGTACACTGTATTTACAGTAATGGCGAAATTTGTTTGTGAAAATACACCCTTCCTTCTGTCCTTTGGAAGGACAATGCTACTGATGAGGCGGATGATTTGTCAGTAGTTTCGGACAATTTTTGCAGCTTACAGCATGATGGAAAATTTTCGGGTTATATGCATCTTTGTCACACCCAAAAAACGCTCAATTCCACGGTGTTCTGACCCAAATAGCCTTGTCGTAGATAGTAAATCTAGAAAAACCTGCAAATTTACATTTTGTTTAAGGTGAATAAAGCAAAGTGTTATGAAAAGGGCATTTTTTGGCATAAAATATTTATAAAATGATGAAGAGCTTTATTTGTAAATGGATAGTTTTTACTTCTTGGAAATACATTACTACTAATAGAGCGAGCGTCTTTTCAGTAGCTTTAACAATCTATGCACCTCGGAAAATACTGCTTTTTACAACTTTCGTCACGCCCAAAACAACTTTAAAAACATTGGTGTCCTAACCTAAATGGCCTTTTCCTGGAGATCGAGCGAATAGAAGATCTTTCGAATTTGCATTTTTTCAAGGCTATCAAGAACATTGTTTTGGCATTTCTGAAGCATCTCTATTATAAAGAAAATGCATCGCAAATTACGCAGCTAATGCAGTAATTTCCTTAAAAAGAGCTTCTGCATTTTTTTACATGAAATCGGTCCACAGAATAACCAACTCGTAAGTGAAGGTGCACTTGCTAAATTTTTTATTTCATTTTGCTGACATTTCTCTTGTTAGGTCGGAAAAAAAGCCGCCATAAATTACCGTAAAATCAAGCGAAAGTTAGGACAATGGTGGATTTTCTTCTTTGGAAGCACCTAAGTATCATTTGGCGGCAAACGAAAACGATTTTCCTTTTTGCTTCTGGGCAGCAAAAACTGTGTCTGTACCGAAAGGAAAATTAACTGTGGAGGTAACTAGCCTATTATAGGAGAGATTGAGGAAATAAAAAAGCTCCTTTTTAAGGGTCATTAAAAAGAAAAATCAAAAATCTAACCAAAAACTTAATCCATTAGAAGATTAAAGTTGTAGTTTTAGAAAATTAGGATTTTTTTCTGTAAAAAATATTTTTAATAGATAAACTTGGGCAGTTTATTAGTTCTGGATACACCCTTACACTTGACAGTTGTTTTGACTTGTCACCTGGCAAATGAATCAGTAGTGCACTCACCCGTCATTTTGATAGCTTTCATTTTGCGGTAATCTAGGCAAGAACAAAGAGGGAGGTCGCCATGGCAGTCTAGGATGGAAAACATGGGACGCTTAGTTTAGCGTAATTGACAGGCGCCCATTCTTGCCGTTGATCTGGTCCAACCTTGTCAGATTGTCACGGCACCAGTAGACTGATACCTAAAGTTAGAGTTTTCCCCTCAAAATGTGTGCCAGCTTTCTACTACAAAGGGCTTTAACTCTCACAGCTTTTCCTCCCCATTAAGTCTTTCGAATACTTTTTACCTCAAAGGTTGTTTAGTCTACTAATCCAACAGAAGAGAAAAAAGCGCACTCTCATAGAAGAACTTCCAATTAAATGTTGGTAGTTCCCGCTAAAAAGGGTTGCAGCTGAACGCACCCAACAGTCAAAGCCATTGTTGGATAGGTGACCACATAAATTCAAAGTACCCGCCATTTCTCCAGGCCCACTACTATTAACTACTAAACAATTCACCGTTTCGTAAGCATTGCCAACTAGGGAAGTCTAACTGCTTTACAGTACAGCATAATTTTCTCTCATCGTTGTTCCTAGATAGTCACTTTCACTTGGCAGGTCTAAAAAGGAGGCTAATAAAACGGTCGGGCTGGGGTAATAATCCCATTCGGGGTCGGTGGAACGGCGAAATTAGTCACACTGCGCTAAAGTAGTGGAGACGGCACGAAAGCACAAGCGAGAGAAAGGCAAAGGCGAGAGGGGGAAAGGAGGAGTTTTTTCCACAAGACAGGACAGTCACTCTGTAGCAGTCAATTTGGTCTGATGCTATGAGGCGAAGCCAACGAGAAAATGTTTTTTTGCCGTCGGTGGTTGTTAACCCGCTACTACCACCACCACGGGTAGCGTCGATGTCGCCATTTGTGTTAATGTGTTAACCCCTAAAAGGCGCTTAGTCATGAATAAGTAGAAAAGGCGGGGGGGGGAGGAGAAGGAGCATGGGGCGTGGAAAAAAAATTGCGGTAACAGTTGTGCCTTCCTGTTCGCATGCAACAAAGCTACAACGATGAGACGAGTTAATATCTCCCATTCGTTTGCTACTGCTGTCATTGTTGTTCATGTTAGTGGTTTTTGCAAAAGAGGTGATTTGTTCCCTACATAAAAAGGCGGCAAAATCATCAATGTAGCCCATCCAATTTCAGCGTATTGCAGCTACTTCTAAACCCTACAGACATGATACTTTTTAAAGAAATGAGTTGATACAGCATCCCTTTAAAAAAAAGTAAGCTCACGTTTGCATAGGTATGAATAGTAACCGAAATTCTTGGTGCCATTCTTTAATGAAGGACCGAATTTGGTTGAAAGCCCTGGCTACAAATGAAGTAATCTTTGATACAACTGACTGGTCGGTTTCTGTGGCCCAGAAAAATATACCTTCTGACAATTAGAAAGGGATTTAAAGAGTCTCTTTCTGTCATTTTGATTTGTTGATTTAAGTAGGGATCAAGAGATGCTAGATACCTTTAAATGTTAGACAAATAGGACCGAAGAAATCTGTCTATACAGATACCAATCTACACCACCCACCCACACTACTGATGCGTTTTAAGTAGCTTAAAACAGTCGAAACAAAAAATAGTGAAATTTCATTTTTAGTGATCGCAGCGTATACTTATGGGGGTACTTAAATACTGGGTGGTGGAAAGAGCTCGTAGGTTTGTCAACATGTCTCACCACATTGGCTCCTTACCACTGCTGCAGAGTTGTCATATGCAGACAATCGCTTGTGACCACTTAGGGCTTGGATATGCGAAGGTATATCAGACGTCGTCGTTGCCCTTTATCTCTCTTCCCTTTATTTTGGGAATCCGATATGATCGCTGTCTGTCTGCCCTACGAACTGCGAGGATTTGGATCGCAGACCTGGAGAAGCATCTCAGCAGATATGTTGAGGTGGCAGTGGAAGAACGGACTTCCCAGAGAACTAACTTAAACGCTTTTGTCGTGATGAGGCATCACTCAGAAGCGTGCACACTAGAACATGCGAGAGGACTCTCCTTACGTTAGGGTTAACTGAAGACCAAAAATGAGTTGAAACCTATTGGAGAAGAAAGAGAAGATCGTGGAAGGGAGAGATTTAGGAGGCGCCAGTTTGGTAATTGTTTCTTTTACGAATATGGGGAAATCGCGGAATGCATTTTAAAAGGGCAATTTGAAGAAAGACGTGAGAAGAGAAGTAATTTTGATCTGGAATATTGGTTAGACGGCACAAATGAGCACACCTTTGATAACTCCAAAATAACCCACTGTTCCCCACTTCCCAACCGGCACTTCCTTCTCCAGTAGCACTGCATCCTCAAAGGACTGTGTTTAGTGTGGGTGCGTGTACACTGCAGATGGCGCTGTTCAGTGTCAAGTCCATCTCCACGACTGAGATTCATCAACTAAGCAGGACACAATGCAAGCTTGCGCAAGAACAGCCTCCCTTCTTAACCGTGCCGCATTCATACACTCACAAGATAGCCCAACCATCCACCATGAGAAAACTTAGGATTTCCTTGGTTAGGTAGATTGGAAGGCAAAGAAATTTTGCCTTTTTATCGGCTTAATCCTTATTCTTCTCCCCAGTTCATCCTCTGCAGTCCTCTGATGATTATCACCTTTTCTAGGCATTACTATTGCCACAGACATTAATATCACCTTAAATGTATACGTGATGACATACGAAGTAGGATAGACGAATGAGGAATTAAGAAAAGACGGTACTGGAGGTAATTATTGAATAGACAAAACTTTGCCTAAAATCCGCCGTATCTCGTTGGTGGAGGATAGGTGATTGCAAAGACAATTACTTCACGAAGTAGGAATGGCCAATAGTTGAAGAGTTCCCAAGTTGTTTTTTTTCTTCTTTTTCGAAATCTCTCACTTGTTTCGTCACCTTTCCTGCTATGCTTTGAAGGCTCAAACCATTGAGTTTAGGCCTAAAGGTGTCCACGATAAATTGCAATTGGAAGCTCGGAGGCTAACTCCTCAATTTCCTTATAAATACATATACATATTTTAAAATATATATGTGACTTTTTGATATGAACTTAGGAGGGCTTAAAACCTTAGATGTAAACGCAGTTTCACCATTAATCCAACCATTAAGGCACAATGAATAGGCTTACTCATAAGCCTCCCTAATAGCTCATAAAACGATAGACTTACCGTAAATATATGGAGCAATTTAAGGCAACATAGAGAAAATTGAGGAGCACTTGCGAGGTTTATTGTCGCCATCCACTACAAACGGTTGTACTAGGTGAATCAACTTCCCCAGATAAAAATCGTAGTCACCGAAAAACCACCTTAAAATCCCTTATCAGATCTTAAGCTAGGATGAGAAGAAGACGCTTTGATATAGATGCACATGTGGCCCCTTTAGTCTGCCTTGAAGTCGTAATGAGGCACAGCAGTAATAACGAGCATGAGCTGCCAGATTAGAGAAGAGTGAGGAGACTAGTAACCCGGCCCAAGGGCCATGTTGCTGAGCTATCGGACCGCATATGTAAACTGAGGGCAAACACTTCACTAGAATGTATCGTGATGGTCAGCAAATTGTAAAATTAGTTGTACCACATGCACTAGGACTGTCCAGAAGTACTGTCCTAAAGTAATTTTAAATTTGTAAAAAAACCAATTGATATTCTAAGAAAGTAGAAAATTAAATGACAAGTTTACCTTGACAGCCATAAGTTCAAGCTTTATTAGTTCTTTAAAACATTTTTAATTGAAGCTGGACACATTTGCTTGCATTATATACATAACTGCGTTTTTGGTTCCATTGTAAATAAACATTTCAATGATTTTTCTTAATAAACTCCTTTTCACCTCAGCGTCTCACATGTGTGACGCAGTTTATGATGACAATCCCATTAATCTAAATGTATTAAACAAATGAGCTTATTTTAAAGTAGCTGAATAAATATAGGGCGTCTGGAGGAATTTATATTTCTGTCGTTTAGAGTGCCATTTAAATAGGTCAATTTGGGATCTCAAGCGTTGGTGTAGCATTCGAACAATAAACCTTCTAAATGGCTATCGTGACCAAGCCTTCTCTAAGATAAACAACATTTGTAACAATTTTAATGAACCATCCTTTGACGCAATAAAAATTGCCTTAAAGGGACTGTAAATGACAACTTTAAGGCATTGGCAAAAAAGGCATGCTCAATTTACTAAGTCAATAAGGGTTTTACTTCCAGAATGAGATAAATTTTTCCACCGTCAATTTATTTCTACTCTTGTTCAAAAACTGACTAAAACAAAGTCAAAAATACTTTTCATCTGAACTAATTGGTACAACGAGTCAGAGGGCGTTTCGCATAAATTTTACATGATTAGCTTCAAGGCAACCCGCACTTCTACGGGATAAATGAAGTAAAAAAGAAGCAGTCCTGTCAAGTGACCCATTCGATCGGTAATTTGAAGTGAAACAAGCGGTAGAAGGAGGCGTTAATGTCGGACTACAGATAGGTCAGTTGTTTGCTCTGCTTTGTATTAATAAGTAAGAAATGCGTCCATTTGACGGCTGGAGTCATTCATGGTGCATGGCCAAGATGGCACCAAAAAGGGGGCAAATAACACCGTGTCAGAAAATAATTTTGCTTACTGATGACAATATCAGTAGCAATGATTTATACGAGACTGGATAACAGCTTTCAAAATCAAGATACACTGTAAAATAACTAAGCTAGTAACATTTGTTTAATGTTTTAAAGACACGCAACCGTTGGATAATTGATTGACAAAATAGCTCATAAAAGTAATGGGGGCTAAAAACACCACGGTACAACAGAACTATTAATAGCCACGATCGAGAGCTGCAATAATGACTAATAAAATGTTGAGAAAGAAAGATTCTGCCACAATTTGGTCAGTTGTGAGCAAGACTTGAGAAGAGCCAGTGAAACTTTGATTAATTTCTGTCAAAACTGGGAGCTCATCCTCTACCCTAATGGCATCAGCTGCCCCAAAATGATGGTCATAGCTTCTCTCACACTTCAGTTCCATTTATTAAGTCTATTTTTGCACGAAGCTGGTGCCCTTTGAAAGTGTTTAATGCCTAGCGCTTGGATGCACTATTGGTGGATAAAAATAATAACTTTTCAAAAGAAAAATTAATTGTGTTAGATGATTGCATGAATTTGTGTCGTTACATTCAAACACCCTACTGTTGCCCATCCTGCCCTATAGCCAGGTGACGCCATAATGGGCCAAGGGTTGAAAGGAACATCCCGGCTATTTTTATGCCCCATCAAAGGAGGAGGCTTTTTGAGTTCATGTAGCCTGCATGGATTGAGACTTACAAATTTTACGACCTTGACAAATTTAAAAGCCCGAACACTCTTTGAAATATTCGTTTTAATTGGTGACTTGTAGGAGTTGTGGAGATTTCCCATCGGCCAATTGAAAGATTTAACACTCTGTCTTTTCCTACTAGCCTTAATTGAGAGGAGAAAGAAGTAATTACATGTTACCTCATCTATCATTTGAGCATCCGAGAGCTAGAACTAGTGGTAGTATGCAAAAGCTGTCAGATGTGCGAACTTATTTTTCGCATTTCGGATGTAAATGCTAGTCCTCTGAAAGCCCTTTTTTGGAAACTAATCTAGTTAAAACAAAAGAGATTCTTGAGGGTTAATATAACGACAACTTTGTACCATCTATTGGGGACTATAAGGCAACCAAGTAGATTTCTTTTAATCATAAAAATAAAGTGATCCCAACCACTGTCAAATATTTTCAACTTCTCCTTCATGGGGCAGTCATCTTTGCAATCTACCATCCTCCACCAACGAGATGTGGAGCCTTTTGTAAAAGGTTATATCTCCAGAAGCCACCAAATAACTTGGCCATTCTATAATCACCTCCGACGTCTACTTGCCTTAATTCCCCATTTGTCTATCCCACTTTGTACGTCATCATGTGACGTCTAACACGATACCAGTGTCTATGGCAGTACCAGCGTAGATAGAAAGTGATAATCAGCAGTTGGAGTAATATCATTTGAGGCACACGAAGGAGGAAAGGAGGTGGGAAAAGCGGAAAAATTCCTGTGTATTCCGTTCTAACTAAGCTCCAAGTCTTTCTCTAGGCAACTGTTAGGACAGTATGAAGTGGTGGGCTTTATGGCAATGAGAAGGCGGCAATGATCCTACAGACACACTATTGCAAGGATGGCTGTTGTTGTTTACGTTCTAATTGTATCCTCTCGAGTGGACGGATCTCAATCGTAAGGATGGATTTGACACTAGACAAAGCCACCCGCGGCTCACACGCACGCACACCCACGCGCACACCGAGACAAAGTATAACCTTTTGAGCCAGTCTTGCGTCGTCTTGTAAACATAACAATGACACTTTCTTTTTATAGGCTCCTCAGTCTCCACTGTCTCCAAAGAAGTGATTTACTGAGTTCTCGTATGAATTGTGTCCCATCGCGTGGACAAATCCCGTCTGTGGTTATTCCGCTCTCATTGAATAATTTGAGGTGAGTGTCCATATCTGTAGTTAAATAAAAATGAAATTGGCAAAGTTTTCGATAAAAATGCTAAGGAAGTGATAATTTCTTCCAAATAGTTTACATCCGTCAACTCTGAGGACCAATGTGGTATTCACATCCCTAAGAAGGGGAATCATTGTATGGCTAAAGAGGCATATTTGGGTGCTGGGCGTCATCAGAATCAAGTAAGGTCAAAAAATCTCGTAACTTTTATCTCACCAAATCATTGAATAGGACGAAAGATAGTCACTAGGCAAAAAAAAGTTTTGTACATTTGCAATCCCATGACTTTTAATCGAAGCCTTGCGTCACGCATGTGTGACGCGCTGGGTTAAAGGAAAGCAGTACCTTAAAGTTGAAAGCTTACTTGCAAAAGGGAAATTTTTTGGGGATGACTAGGGAGTCAGCTTTATGTACTTACTAAGTGATACCCACTTTGCTATTAGTTTAATCAAGGTCTTGGCAATTACGAAGGGAAAGAGGTGGGAGTCAGGATGCCTCACTGAAAGTTAAATGTATTTACCAATTTAAAGCGAGCTAGAAGAAGACGCTGAGTTAATTAGATAATTACTGTCATTTACAATCACTATGGCAACAATTTAGGTTGGTTAGTAGAGGACTTGAAAATTAGGTTTGCTTTCAAATCGTTTATCTAAGTCACACTGGAGGGTGAAAACGCCTTTCGATCATACGAAGCTAAGGGAGACCGTGTCTTGGAGCTTGTACAGGCAGAAATTTCAAACAATCAAGGAATAAAAGCACAGCACATGCTTCCTTGCTTCACTTGGGATAATCTCGAAGTTTACAAACTTGTCAATTAGAGCACTGACAACCAACCAGATGACAGACCGATCAAAAGGCGGGGATTTTTGAGAGTGTAGCTCCACAGTCATTCCTGTGGTTTAAGGCATCAATAAAATTGCTGATAGCCATACATCATTAAATTTTAATAACTCTACAAACTAGGATAAAAATACACATTTTTCCAAAAAAAATTGAGTAATACAAGCAAAACTTGGTGTTTAAATGGACAAAAGGCGAAAAATTTTAAGCTATCAAACCACGAGTACCGCTTGAAAACTTTTTAATTACTTTTGAAAAAAAAGTCCCATGTTTTTGAAACCATTTGAGGAGCTGCATTACCCCTAAAACAGGTCAAAGAACTTCCACCTAAGGTCCAGTGACAGGTCTCACTCACTTTTCAATGATGGTCCAAGAAAACATGAGTTACTTAAAGAGATGCCAATTTCCTGGCATTTACAGAACATTATGAAACAGTGAATAGGGTTTTGACACTTACGACAATGGGTTTGTCATTAGCGTCACGCGTCAGTGGCGCTCCTCTTTTCCCACCTCAGCTGACATGTCATCTGTGGATACGACACGTGTTCCTTAAGTGCCCCTTAATAAACCATTGGGTAGCAGAGATGGGTGCTGCAAACAGAGTGTTTTAGTTTAAAATAACACTAAAAAGGACTTAGAAGTTACCAATTCTGCCAAAAAAGTTTTCCTCTCTGGTTTTTCCACAGCAGGTGAATTGGTTGACTCGGTAGCATAAAAAATTTGGAAAGACTGCAATGCGAGAGCTTCCTCTAAGACAAAGTCTCCTGACGGACTTGGTGGATGCTTTTGACAAAAATTAGTAGATTTTTTATGATTTTTTGTTGAAATTATGGCTAAACCAGGGTAGCCGCGAATGAATTACACAGATATTTGATCGGCTGACACTTTTAGAATGGCGAAGAGTTTCCCAACTTTAAACTCGATCCTAATTTCAAGAAATTTGTCGAATAAACTTTAAAACAAGCAGTTTTCCTAAATCTTTTATGTTATTTGGTAAAATCAAAACCCCCTTCCTAAGTGGCATCTCGGAATTGTTTCAATCAAATCTAACAATGGCCTAAACTTATCAGCTACAATTGTATAGGGTATTTAAGAAATGCTTAAGGGAATTTGTTTCAGAAACAACCACAAAAGCTATTTATAACAATTTTTACTAAGTCCTTTTAGGTAAGGGTTAAGCAGGCCACGGAAGTGACAGAAAACTAATGTTGCTTAAATACTACTTAATTACATGCTCGCGTTATTAGTAGTTTTCTTTGTGGCTAGCCTGGCTGCACTGGACAAAATATACAGACTTTTACCCCAATTACAGCCTCATTTTACGCCAATTAGAGGTGTCCGGCATTGTTGGCTCTCTACTTAAATTGCAAGACTAGCACCTCTTAAATATTTCCTTACCGCATTCCCGCACTTTCCGGGTCATAACCAAACCCACTTTGTCCTGATATAATCAAGAATAAATTAGCTATTTATTGACTGACTATCCATTATCGCTGGTCAACCAGCTACGGCAGTTGGTTATTAGGCCTTTCTACATATAAACAATCCCCATTTAGCCGGCAAAGTTGATGAAAGGAATCTCTTCGCTTCTTCAAATGGGTGACATTTACCCGAGAGGAAGTTCAAATGTCAGGCTTGTTAGATCTCGATATGGTCATGAGTACGCTTGATGGTATGTTGACAGCGCGGGCTTATGAAGTATTCACGCTTCACCGGAAGGCAGGTAGACTGGAAAAAGCAATTTCCTGTACACTCCTTTTGCTTTACCAAAATTTCAGGCGAATTTTTCATCACTACGACTGACATTTTATCAAGCAATCAAGTCAATAGGTAGATAGACAGGTAAGCGGTCCACAGTCACATTTTATCAAAGAATGAATGAGAAATTCGGTTTTCTGATGGGAAGAGTTGGATTGGCAACAGGTTATGCTGGATTCAATTTGATGTCGCCTTGACCAAAAGTAAACGCTTTATGGCTTTTTTGTAGACGGCAGATCTAAGCTACTATTTGTTCACGGGAATTACAAAAGGAATAGTAAATTTGGGGGTACTTTTTATCCTGTTTGATCCTGAATTTTGGCAAATATCTTATCGTAAACAAACCCGCGTCTGATGCTGTGGACTTTTGAGCATGTTTGTCCTAGAAGCCGTGTCGCCAAAACATCCTCGGAAATTAGACTAATTAAAAAATACTTTTTATAACAATCTGTGAATACAATCTAGCTATTTTATTCCTTAGACTGGACATTCGAAGTTTATTTACCAAGTAAATAAGTCCTAACTATCCATTCCTAGTCCGTCTACAGTATACTGAACCTTTCAGTCCGTCCACCGCCTTGAACTGGTGGAAGCCGAACATTTGATCCATGGTTCGTAATGCGATCCTTTCGAGGAGGAATAGAAGCATCGGACTCTTAGGGGCAACTGGATGATCAGTCTTAGTCTACTCTTTCAGCCGAGACTGCTCTTGGCTTGCAGCCCCCTAGCTTGACAAAAAAGACGTCGTAAATTGATCCAACCTTTTTTCTCCAAAAAGATGTACTGAATTCCTTCCCATTGGCCAGATTTTAAGATGAGTGAAGAGTTACTTTACCCGTAGAATTACCGTCTTTGATGATTTTTCATGCTTGTAAGTCGGTCCCCAAACTTGGCTCAAAACCGTCCTTCAAAAATGTCTTTTAAAATGTCGAGTTGGAGGCACTATTTTCCTTTCATTTTTCGTAAAAATTACCAAAGCAAAGAGCATCCACCGGTTTAATGTATTTCTGAATACTTAAAGATAACTTTCAGCCAAATCGTCTCGAAAGACACCATAACGCTACTTAAATGTACTTCCGAAGACAATGCTATCTATCTCCAAAACGCAAACTATAAGACGATATTTTCCAGAAAGGTGTGTGACACATTTGAACTGATCACCCTTTTGTCATTGTCTCTTGACGGTGACAGGTCATATGACAAGGCGTTCATCAGGTCATCCAAACATTCCCGTCATTTTGTTTTCCACCAACTCATGTACTCTTAAAGTACGGTCAATCAAATTCTGTACCTTTTGGCCTCCCTTTGTTGAGCTTTTCGTTGAGTTTTGTTGGACCGGGAGGCAATAACACTGTGGTGGTGGAAAGTTATGCTGACATTGACTTCAGCTGAGCCGGTTTTGGGTGTGCATCACAGCCTCTTGAACAGACAGCGGAGGGGCTAGGAGGGACAAGGCGGGGGAAGAGGGTGAAATTGGCTTCACGCAAGACGTCCATATTTTAAGTCCACCAGGTTGTTTCAATGAAACTATTTAATCTATAAAATATTTTCCATGATGATTTTATCCTTGAAATGATGAGGCAAATCGAGTTTTACTAAATTTAAATTTTTATCACCAGTTCATCTATAGTTTTCGGCGAGAAGTAACAAACATGTAAAAGGAAATCTAATGATCTGATTAAAAACAAAAAATAACATTAAGGTAACAGCTCAAGTGGTTTCATAAAGGGAATCGCTTTTTTTTCATTTGTCAAAAGGACTTTTGACAACTGGGCCTCGGGCAATTCAAAGAGCTCAAGTCTGTGTTTTTAGGATGGCGATTGTAGAGTCAGAACTTCCAAAGTGATTGGTAATGTCTCAAATCTCTCCATCTATCCGAATCCACCCATTCATCCATTATCCACCTCCATCCATCCACCCATTTGTCTATCCATTCAAATATCTATCTAATCTCCTCATCTATCCATTTCTCCATTTACCCCTCTATATCGTAAAAGATATAAAGTAAATGAGACCCTTATAACTGAAAGTAAGATGGATTCGAATTTTAGGCTTTATAATATAAATTAGAGCTTATCCCACGACTGGTTCGGCTGCTGTTCTGACGAAATGAGTTGATGGATGATCGTTTGTCACCATAAATAAATAGCCCAAATTATCTGCGTTTTTGTGTCCCCATAATTTACAAGCCTTATTAAATTCCCGGTGTATTTTTTTGACAAGCGCCTATTAAAGGCACAATCACGACTTTTGTTTTTTTGAATTTATGTTTTTTAGTTACTCATTAATTTAGGAATTTTAAAAAGCATTTTTACTTATTTATTTATTCAAGTCATTTTACTTGGGCAGAAGTTGCATTGCCGATGTACAGGGGGGCCATGGGGCTATTGCAGTGGCTCGGGGGTTACGCCCCCCAGCTTGATTACTTGATTACTCGCAAAATCAAAACAAAGAGTTGAATAAGCAATCCAAGAATTACACAACTTAACCTACAGACTCACTCAAAGGTGTTCGGCTTTGTTTTCCCTAAGTAATGTTGGATACAAGTTCGAGAGGCCAGTGCATCTAATCTCTTAATGACCCGCTTACTTTCTTGAAGGTTCAGTTGCCGACAATCGCACTTCATTAGACCATTCTATCCTTTTCACAGTATACAAGACTAAAATCGCCAATAAACTTAATTGATGCTATTTAATATCCTAAACAAGTCTTCTAGTCCTTTAATTCGCATGGTTATATCTGCCGACAATTACATAAAACAGTTTTGAGTCCGACTGTTAAGTAATTGGATACTTGTAATGAAGGTGGCACCACAATGCCTAGGCATTAACGCAACTTTTCAAAATCCATAACAAATTTGTTTAAATAGCAAAAAAACAAGTCAAAAAATGGACCAAACCCGACAAGTCTGCCTAGTTGTTGACAAGCATATTAGGGCAGTTTGCCTGTTTCTAGCTAAATCTGCACTTTTTCGGCCTATTTTGAGTCGCTTCATTAGTGTTGTTGGGCCTTCTCCGCTCTCGTGCCTCGAGAAGGAGGATGCAATTTTTTCGGTTGTTGCACCACAGCCCTACAGGAGGTAGTGCTTTTTACCATGCAATAGACCGGAGCAGTCCACCATAACTCGCTTGAGCATGCAAAAACAACACATCCACACACACAGGGAGAGAGGAAGGGAGGGAGAAAGGGTTATTTGCTATCTTTTGGGGAGGGGAGGAGGGCAAATGCGGAGAAGTAGGGGTGAGCTAGGGACAAATCACTATGCCAACATTAAAGTAACCACTCTTTAGGCAAGAGATGCGCCTAATGCACAGGATTTACCTCATGTTCCTGTCTAGAGGTAGCACAAATCTTCCGTTCGGCCAATTATTAGGTATTGCCTTCCGAGATAATGTAAGTAGCGGATTTTATAGCTCTGAATAGTATATTGGGAACTGATCCTGTTAGTCACTTTTGATTAATTTCATTTAACCAGAATCCAATCACTTATTAATTAACCTCTCACGGGTAGTTATCATACTTTTTTCATTTAAAAGGTCGCACAATGTCATGTCACTGAATTGACAGCCCAAAGCAATGGTAACTCTGAGACGCCTTCACCAAAGTATGCTTAACCGTCATCAGTAAGCATCGGAAAAGGCTTTGTGGATAAGAAGTTCCAAGAAAAAAATGAAAAATGTGCCGTATTACCAGCCTTTAGATGGGCTACCCGTGTAGTTACTCACTTAATCAACCTTCATTTATTTAACAACTTCGGTTGCCGCAGCCAAAACAAACAGGCGTGAGTGAGTAAACAAATGCAGCCTCTCAGTTCCCCTATTTATCTTATTCCACTCCCCTATTAGTTCATTTCACATATATCATGTCAATGTTGGGTTGAAATATTTATACACCGGTGGAAGAGAGCTTGACTTGTGAGTACGAAAATAGAAATGGGTAATGGGCACCAGGCGGCACGTTTTCCAGGCACTTTACAAAGGCACCTTCATTTGTGTAATTTCTCACAATTCTAAACAAAATGATTTGGCGAAGCAGAACCATTTGGAAAAAGGGAAGTGGAGTGGAAGACTACTTAATGCCTGACATTTGATTCAAAAAGGCGATTTGTCTTTGATTTTTTCCACCGCCAGATTTGGGATGGTAATCTTGCTCCAACTTCTTTGAAGTTGAAAAGTTATGAATAGAAGAAATGACTTTCCATTTATTATTATTAGTTAATGCTTAAAGTTTGTCTTAAATTGTGGTAAATCTCAAGGTAGAAAGCAGAAACCATATTGGTGTAGATGAAGATTCAATCGCTTAAATATTCCGCGAAATTCTTAAATGAATCTACGGGTAATTTTCCGAATATTGTAATAAATTTCAAATAAAATACTAATTGTTAGTAATTACTCATTTGAGCATGAAATCTTCTGAATGTCTACCAGTCCGGGCTGCCATCGGAGCCGTCACAATTCTTATCGGTCGGTGTACAGAGGGGCCGGGAGACCAACATTACAGTAGGCACTCTGTGCCACTAGCGCAAAAGTGGAATGTAAGGATTCTCTTGGTGCCAAGAGTAAATTAAATAAGCACCACTTTGGTCCCCTCCCGTTTGGAGTTTCATGTTTGTTGCTCCTCTTATGCGTGTGTATGTGTCAAGGCATTTGCGGGTCAGGAATGAGGAGTATAAAATGATCTTCCTCACACTAAAAACACATTTAAATCCAAGAGCATTTGCGGATTTTACAGGTTTAGATGGGCCACCTGTAAGGTTCCCCTTCATAGTTACTTGAACTAGACAATGTTTCTTAACTAACGCATTTATACATTAACGAAGCGGTTCTTGCTCCGACCTGAAAATATTTTGGCCATGGTCATTTGAGTCCAAGATTATCTTCAGTGCCCACCCTGCTCCTATTAAAAAAGTCGAGTAGCGGGGGTCTGAAAAGATCCGGATGATGTGGTTCGCAAGCTAGAGTCAACAGAACTTTTTGACAGACATTTCGCAGTTCCTGATTATCATGATTAACTTTTCGCTATAAAGGCACTCCAAGGTAAACAAAAACCACCTTTTAAATACGATGTGCTAGAAAATTTGTTTAGAACCTTGGGACAGTTAAATGAACAATGGGACAGGAACGTTACGTTTACAACCATGCGATGATTACATCAAGCGCGCTAAAGATCGAGGGGAGGGTTAATGTATGCCTTTCTATCTACCAACTCTCATCTATTCATACGTTGTCACTTTAAAGGACAGTCAAGTTCGTGCCTTTGAACAACCGACCTCTGCCTAATGGGTATTTACCAATTCATTGAGCACACTAAAGTACACTGATGCAAAACCATAAAACTGCAACCGTGAAATGGACACGAGTTCTTTGAAGTCACGACTAGAAACAATCTGTCATCCCCTTCCAAACTTGATTTGGGTCTTACACTTTCTCGGTAGAAACAGTATCCAGAATGCATTTTTAAACTGTTAGCTGGTTTCGCTTCCGTGAAGATCTTGCGAGCTGCAAAGCAGATTCGGGTACCGAATGGAATTAGTCTGTTTGTGGAAAAGTCTGTAAAAGGCACAAACCCGAAATGAAAAAAAAAAACAACATGGTAAAAAGCAATGAAGGATACAAGCCTCCCAATGGGAGAAATTAGGGGTCTAGGTGGGCTAAATTGGCTATATTTATGGCTCAGTCAGACGTCTTGCGCCCACCTTATTGGCCGACCCAGCTAGCGCAAACGGCCTACAGACTGCCAATAGGGTTGAAGCAAACACACGGAGGGTGGAGCGACACCTGTTGCAAGAGACGCCTAGAGAGGCCTCCCTGCACGCTTCACTTTTAACTCTGCCAGCAGTTCAACCCACACACAACCACACACAAGGGCGTGGATGTTACTCGGTTCCCCACCTTCCCTTTTCTCTGCCTAACGAACTACTTCACGTCGTCTTTGTCTGTTTGTCTGAGAGAGTGTTTGATTGTTTGCTTTTTATTCTCACCAGTGTGACCCCCCAAGTTCGCGCATGTAATGCTCGCGCATGCCTGACCTCTGCCCCTTTGGACACCGAAAAAAATCGATAACTCGGTCATGCACATGCGACTTCGCTCCTCCTATCCCTACGCCCTCCTCTCCTTCCTATTGGTGCTTTTTGGGCTAACGGATGCCTACAATAGAATCGGAGGTGAGTCAAAAGTTGTGTGTTTTATAGAAAAAAATTCTGCTTTTTGCATGCCCTTTTAAATGTGCTATCGTCCCTCCTGCTCTCCCCCTTTCCTTCCCCAACATCGCACCCTCATTGTGGGAACCCTACCCACAGAGGTTGCCACTTGGTTCGCATGATTGTGCGCATGCGAATTTTCAAGGGGCACTAGCAGTCCTCATGCATAGTAGACACCCAAGGAATTTTTTTTTATTTGGTTCTTTGCCGCCTCTCGCGCCTAGGTTGTGAGGCGAAATTGTACAATCATTTTTCTTTCTTTTTTTGCCTTAATTTACGTTAGATAATTTGAAGATCTTTTGCAGAATGAGCCAATTTGTCGAGAAGGTGGTGATTTTCTTGCCTCTACAAATTTAGGCACTTTTACTACAAATTTTAGCATCTCTTGGGAGGTTTTCTCTAGTCGGCAAGGCTCTCGGTACGTTTTGATTGTAAAGAAAATCTTTCGAATTATTTATTACCTGCGGTCGGCAGCTCCAAAAATCACCTTCATCACTAGTTCAGTGATCTCTACAGCAGAGGTTGTTGAGGTGTTAGGTGCTACTCTAAAACGAAAAGTTTTTGATTTCTTCCTCCTCTCCTTTTTCTCCTCCTTCTTCGTCTTACCTTTTTGTGCCGATTAGGTAGAGTAGAAAACAAATTACAAAGTGAATTCCTTTATGGCACACTAAATTACATATTGTTTCTTGCCTACTCAAAAGCGTAGTAGGTTTGCAAGAGGCTCGACTCATCGTAAGGCACTGGAAATATCATATAACAATGTTGGGCTCTTTCAGATAACCCTTACCATGATAGAGTTTTGGGCCAAATTCCCAGTTTTTGAGTTTCGAACTCAATTTTGGCGTTTTACTACTGAGTAAAAACGGAGAAGAGGTTTGGTTTGCCACTTTGCAACTGCTTCTGTCTCACTTTTAAATGCTCCACTCATGGGTGGATTGTGGCCATCGTCCCAACAAAATATAAAATGACTAGTAATGATCTTTTGCATTGAGAGCACATAAATGTAGCCATTTGTGGTGGATTTTACCCCGTTTCTTTTTTACACTAGCTGTGCCTGCGTTGGTTACTTTGGAACTCCGTACTAGCACGGTCCCTTTCAGCATTTCGACGTTCACTTAACGGGCTATCTGCGTAAATTAAAAATATCACTTTCAGAAATGGCCCTTTATGCGTAAAAAGAACCACAATTTTCTTGCCTATCCGACTTTTCACACTTAAACAATCAGCTTCACGGGCATTTGGAGGGTCGATATTTGGGGTTTGGAAGTTTCTTTGATGGTGCCGTGTTTTCCATGTCCCTTCGTCCAAATTACCATATGGGCCCACGTGCGTTATGCCTGTTATGTAGGCCATCCATATGCTCCAATTTGAGGGAGTAGGACGTAAATACGTGAATAAAGGGGCTTGTAAGACACTCTATTGGTGTATTTATCGACCCTCCTTTAAGTAATGGTTAAATCGGAGCCATATTTAAACAACTCTTTAAGGACGAGGCCATTAATTAATGTATTTTGCTTTGCTCTCACCAAAATAATAATATCAAATCAGTCGTCTTTAATCATAAAATTGTCCACTTACTTTCTTTATTAACTAGGTACTTTAAAAAGAACTTTGTTTATTCCGTTACTTAAAGCAATTACCTACCTTTTAAGTACAACCATTAATTATTAGGTTTATGGCAACATTTGAGGGCATTTAGGTGGAATTATTTTGCAGTTCCAAGAAAATGCATTTTGGAGCTCAGGATTGGTTTGACTGCCAAAAGGAGGAGGTAATTTATATGTGACTTGCTGTAGACTTAGCCATGAAAAAGGAAACTCCTCCCCTAATATTCAGCGGACATAACTGGAGTTGTTACCCTTTTCGTTCAGGGTATTCTCCCAACGCTGTCATCGCTGTAACTGTTCGGGGAATGAGAGGAGATAATCTGGAAGAAACTATTATTATAGGGGCACTGCAGGTTTGGGTGAATCTGAAAAAGCTCTGTGTTATCTCAGGAGACTGAAAGAGCTGCTTAGTTGAATATTCAGCTAAAAACTATCATCCATGAACGGTTTTTAATTTTAGTGAACCAACATCCTGTAGACAGCATTCCACGTGAATCACAAAGTAAAAATCCAAGTTTACATAATTATCGGTAGTCGAACTACGACCTGACAACCACGAAAAAATGTGAGTTTTTTGTTGCAAAAATGGGGATATAGAAAGAGGAAGTGAGAAGAGGCAGCGTGTGTTAGTGTGTGTGTGGTTGATGAATAATGCAGGCATTTATTTGCCCGGGCTGCAAAAAGCAGACGTGGTCCCTCCTTTTTCATCCTCTCCTGTCACCTGGGACCACGCGCAGTCTTTTTTCCCCTATCACTGCCTTTTACTTTGAGTTGTGAGTTTTTATGCCGACGTGGAACTCTGCCCTGCTCTGCTCTACTCTACTCTGCTCTCCTTCCTCTACTGATCCAACTCCGACTATTTCCTTGAACGCAACCCAACCGTTAGCAGAGAGGGTCAAAAGAACTTTTCATGGCTTGCCTCGAGGAAAACTAATTCCATTTTTAAGGTTCAAAAATGTTTGAGGAATATGAAGAAGAAAGCACTGTAGAAAGAAGGTGGGATTTTGCCTCTTTCCTCGGGTTCCGATCTCAAATATGTGATACATCCCTCTTTTTGCAGGCATATATGCTCCCATAAGTTTATCCTTCCCACTCTCTTGTGTCAACAAGCAAACAGCGTTTGGGTTTAACTCAAATATTACCCCAGAGGCACTGATTAAAGTGTCTGTGCTTGTAGATATCCCCAAAGTGATTACCCATTTCCAGCTAATTGTGTTGTTTGGAAAAGAGGCCGAACATATCCCCCATGTCGGGATTGTAGTCTGTCTTTTTGGCCAGTTTAATAAAATACGACCTAATTTTGCAGAAAACATGTATATTCTCCTTATTTTAAAATATGAAAGTGAATTTAACAAACTCCACAAATTTTTACCTGTTGAGAGAGGGGGGGCCACGGATGGTGGTTGCCATCTTAGCTGAGTAGCACCAACGCTGGTTTAAACATGAAGCCTCTTCCTGGTTGACTTATTAGGCCTGGAGGGTAGGAAACACGGCTACCTTCAAGCATGTTGTAACGAGAATTGTAACACCTACAACCGATTGACGTACACCTTCAACTTGTAGCTTTTAATTACTTCATCAAATGGAGGAGGATGTTCCTAAAATGTCATAATTTTCGATTCGACTACAACAGCCTTATCAGTAGTCCATCGTTATTTTTCCCTTTTTCCTTATCTGTTTTAGGTCCCAAATCATCCCACCATCTTCAGTGGTAGTGTGTTAATAAGTATTGAGAAAAGTCGGATTCTAAAATAGCACCTTTGTAATAAATTTAACCCTAGAAATGTTGAGCGAACACGGGGTTTGGGAGTGATTCTTGTCTAGATAATTAGACTCTTCTGAGACCCGGAGAGGTGAGCATTAAGGTTCCAGTATGGTAGAAAGATAATTACTATACGAACCCTGGATTTCCACACAAAGAAAATGATATTATAGAGTAGTAAAAGAGGCAAGTCGTTAAGCCGTCCTTGCATTCCTCCGATTTGATAATTTTTTCTCTGAGGTAACGTGACAACCGAGTACCCACAGACGAGAGAATGAGAAACCTGCTATTGTTATCTCTCACTCTACTAAAACCTCAATCGTGCATTCACTTATTTGGAATGGAAAAAAGGATATTGAGGGGGAGGAGGGTTGGGGAGAGGAAGCGGCTCTAATTTGCGGCGAGTGCGAACTCATAAGATCAAGCCGCAAGGCAAATTAGTCCGCGCCTTCTGTTGTGCATGTCAATGTGTCTCGCGCCAAGGGGGGGTTGTGTGTGCTCGTGTCCGGCTTCAGGTTGACAAGTTTTTACCCAATTTTCTGCCGATGAAAAGGAAAAACAAGATCCTCTTCCTCCTTCTCCGTTCCATGAAGATTTTTTACTCCAAAAATTCGTAAAATGTTAACTTGGCAAGGGTTTTTTAGCAATTACACATTAGATTTTGCCATTCAGTAATTCCTGAGCATGATTTCAGTAGTATATTAATCCTTTTAGTTAATTTGGAGATTAATTCTTGGTTAAAAATTTAAACTTTGCTACTTTTTATATCTGTACAGGAGAGCTTCATTACACAAACCCACTCAATCATTCTTTTATCTCGACTATCACTAATGATTGAGAAGGATCCAGCCACAGTCTTCTTTGCAAACCGCCTCCTTCTCCATAAAAAAGCTAATTTTCCTTACAAATTTGTAGCCCCTTGTTTACTCACTGGAGTAATGAAATGACTATTTTGGTTACAATACTGTCCGTACTTCGTGATTTGCTATACCATCAAACCTCTAAATGGGTGATGTGGATCCACGGCCATTAGTCAAACGGCACATTTCAAGCCTGACTAGATCATGTCAACTTTTCATGTGAGACTTTCCAAAATCTCCAAGAAAACACACTAGTGATAAACTGAAAGTGGGGAATGTTAGACGATTGAAGTATCATTGGAGGTGGGAATGATCTAATGCATTCCATACCTTTGAACTGCTTGATTTTCAGTAGGCGGCAAATGCTCAATTTTCAAATAGGGATTTGGCATATAGACTCTTAAATGTGTGTCTTTTTGAGTATTTTTTATTGGAGAAAAAGGAAGGCGAATGAAAACCCTCATTATCCACTTTATTTTTACAGGATAAATAATTCATTGGGTATTGTTAAAATCCCTCCCATCTTCAACGACTAATTACTCCTGCTACCCCTCCAAGGTGGGAAAAGTAATTAGGGGAGACTTTTGTAGACCAAAAAATGTACAAATAAATAAGTGAAACAAAAAAGCAGAAGATTTGCCCAAGACTTTTGATCCATACCATTTCATTGGGTAAAAAATGCGGGTCCGTTTTGACCGAGCTGGCAAGGGCTGAAGTCTAAATTCCGGAGCTTATTCATGTCAACTGATCTTACTTTTCCCTGTTTTAATTACATCCCCTTCCTCATCCGCTTTTGGGTCCACTTGGCCACTTCTTTAATTCAACATCCTGTGATCCCATCTTTCCACTCACAGATACTTAAATTGCCGCGAACACAGCCCACCCAATTGGGTAGTAACTTGAATACCCAAAACGGCCGTAAGTCATCATTGTTATAGCTACCACAATTGTAGAGCATAAGAGACTGGTGTTTATTACTCAACAACAGCACCACCGCCACCACTATCACCGTGTACTTTGGTTGTGCATTTATACTGGAGGCCTTTCGTGACACATTAAAGTTAACTGTAGATATCGTGATTCTGTTGGATCAAAGAGTTATGCTATGCGATGTGTGGGTGTGTTTTTTCTTATGTCCCTTTATTGCCTTCCACCTTGAGGTGGAACGGTCCATGGACAACACCCACCGAACCCCTTGAGTAAGCAGAGCTCATGCATGAGTTTGGCCGTGAGTACAGTTGCATTAGGCTGGCGATCTGATGAATCCCAACCCCGCGTTTTGCTGTGGACATCGGTTCCATGCTACACCCTACTTATTTATCCATTGTTATGCGAAGAGAAGCAAAAAAAGCATCCATACACACAGAAGCATAGACTCTATGATAGACAAGAGATAAAAATGGGTGTTGTTGAGTGTTGGAGCTCTCCTCCTCGTCCACCGGCACTTTTCTGCCCGAATATCCCAGTTTGATCTACAAAAAATCCTTTTATTCATCAAAAATTACAAATTATTTTGTAGGAAAGATAAACGACATTTTGAATGGATTGTATTTAGACTTTGTGCCCTGATATCTTTCAAAAGTAGACATCTTCAAGCCTTCTTTTCTGCGCTTGTTCAAACTCAAAATTGGCAGTATTTTTAGAGGTAAAGGTGGATCCGCTCAGACATAAACTGCTGAAGATAACGTGATTTAGTGGCTGCTTCCGGAGTAATAGACAGGTGGCTGGAAAGTTGTTTGAATCGGCCGAAAATTTATCTTAATAAGGGCGCAAGAATTACGCGGTTATCTTCAGTGTCCCCAGTGGAGCTATCTCAAGGCTGGTTTTTCCACCCTACGATTGCCTACATTTTGAAAGATCCGGAACCAAATTTAGCCGGCCCTAAGCGAATGAAAGTGGTGTACTCAAAATTGTGGACCTTTTGGGTGTAGTTTATTTGGTTCATCAAAGGTAAATTAGTGGTTAATTTTTCAAAATAAATAGCACATGCTTTCAGTTAGGCTCCTTGGAAGTATTTGGAGACATCGAAGCCCTGGACCATTTTGACCATCCTTGAAAGATTCCGTAGAGTAAAAGTAAATGCTACATCTTGAGACTATAAAAGACAACGTTTTCGACAAAAGCCGGACAATTACATTGAACTTGCCGCTGATCTCCAAAGGCCTCGAACACTGATTCCAAGGCTGGCTAAGAGGACTTGTTTGCCACCGTAAAGAAGGGAGAAGACGTGCTTTAGAAGGTAGCTTTAGGCGCAAGAGTGTGAAAACTTCCAGACTTAGCCAAACAAATAATATTTGGTGCTCTGAGTATGTTCAGTGAATATACCCTCACTTGGGTGAGAAATGACCGAACTTCCTCAACGCACTTCATTTCCAACATTTAATTTCTCGCCTTTTTTGTCTTCGTTAGAGAGAAGATAAAAATTTCTACACTTAAGATCCGTGAGATTCCGAGGCATCAGTAATAATTTCGAGGGGGAGAAAGGGAAAATTGCTCCTTTCCCTCCGGAAGTCATTATGCCCAACTGGCATTGTTTCCAACACTGAAACCATTCCAGAGGTTGGATAAATGGACTTGTAATAACACTTTGTAAAGTACACTTATTTACGTGGAAATTGAAAATCAAAATTCCTCCACATTGGCAATTTCATTTGCTAAGACTCGTTTTTTCCGCAGATAGAGTAGAAATTTACCGAAGGGCAAGAAGATGTATTTTCCTGTCAGCCAAATATCACGAGCAGTTTTATAATCTTGTCAGCGGTAGAAATTTACCTACATTTTGGATACTATTGAAAAGATAGAAATAGACTTTTCTCCTACTTTTTTTTTCAAATTCCCACTCCCCTCACAAATGCAAATGTTTGGGCAAAATTACAAATTTCTTTTGATTTGTAATCAGGTGCGGAGTTGGCTGAGTACAGTTCAATCACAGTTATTTAATTACTGGGGCCGAGCAGTGTTCAACTAGTTATTAAATTCACCGCAAGGGGATAGTAAAAGAGCCGAAAGTGGTCCACCAGCCTCTCGCCCTCTCTCTCTCGCTCCCGCACTCCCTGTCTGTTCCGTAACTACGCAGTTATTCCCGTTTTGTCTTTTGTGTTCCCTCGTGAAGTGGAGGTTTTATTCCATCCAATTCATTATAATCAAAGTCACGTTTCTACCGGATGCGCACTACCTTCTGTGCAAGCAGACAGTTAATGCATGTATACATGCGGATGTACTCGTGTAGCAGGAAATTGAAGGTGTTGTTAACCGGCGACGACAACCCCGCGTCTCTGTCATACTAGTGGTTACGCTCCCCGAGAGTTGTCAATTAGGAGGAAAGTTTGCTCACAATTTTGCCTTCTCCTCCTCCTCCTCAATCGACTTAGTAGTAGTCTAATTAATTACGACATTAAACTCTGCCATCAAGGATGTATTATCAACAGAAAGTATATTCTCAATTTCGCTCGTTTTCAGTGAAACTTCATCTAGAGTAATTACAGAAATTGGGGGCTTTTTCCAGAGAATTAGGGAATTTAGCCTTAAAAAACCGTCTCTGCTTGTACACAAAACTGTTTAGCGCCAAATAAATGGAAGAACGGGGATACGATGGGTCATTTAAGTCAAACTGGGACCTTCGACCCACACAATCTCAAGGTCCTGGATTGAATGTACTCTTGAATTACACGACGTGCTCCAAGTTTGCTGGACATTTCGATATTTTCGGGTTCGAGTTTGTGCTCAAGAGAAGCCTAGATCACCACTGAATGCACTAGAACAGATGCTCATCTTCTTGATGAGCAGGTTCTGGACTGTATTCCTTGATCAGTCCACGTCATGCAGGGCCTCTCCAAGAGGCAGCAGTACGACACTTGTCATTTCACTTCTCCACGTAGCGGGGTCACGGTGATAGCCCTTTTTTTTCGTCCCCTTAAATCAAGGTCAAATTTTTATTTTAAACTACTCAAGTAAATGTCGGAAACCTTATTTGCAGCTTCACTAATCACCAAACATCAGTCCATGATTTATGGAAGGAAGCCATGGGAAGGAGTAGATGAACAGTACCCATGGCTTTAGTGTGTCCCTCTTTTCATCCAACCCTGAGCCGCGGTACAATTTCCTACCAGCACACTTTCAACATCATCCGGGAACCTGGAATGATGTGTTGCAGACATGTATTTATTTAAACGGTTTGATACTTTTGATACAAGACTTTCACAGGGGAACCGACCGCTACAGACTAGATATCCTATTGTTCTAGTTAAGCCCTGTTCATCAAGAAAAAAGGGAAACGTAATGATCTTCAAGGTAGGAGTTCATCAAGTTCATCTGATACATGATTTGGTGTAAACACAATGACCGTTAAAACGATAAAAAAAGGTGTCACGCATTTGTGACGCGCGAGGCGGAGTTCACTCCGCTTGGGCTATCGATCGTGATGAAAAAAAAAACAAATTCAAGAGGTGAGGCGGAGGCGGAAACGGCGTGAACAGAACTCAGATAGCGAGCCTTGACTCCCATCGTGAATCATCCACTCACATGTATTGCGTCCACAATCTCGACCGCCCACCTAGTTTGCACCACGACGATCGATTGGGATGAACAGGGCTCAAGTTTACACGACGGCTACTGATAGGACTTAACGGGGCTCAGAGTTCGAGGGGCTAGGTGTGGAGGGAAGGCAGTGAATAGAGCTCAGCTAGCGGTAATCGAGGCCCATCGTGAATCATCCACCCACGTGTATTGCGTCCACAATCTCGAACGCCCACGTAGTTTTCACCACGGCCACCAACAGCTGCTGTCCCGGTATGCGTCATTGCGCACCCTCGGCCGTGTACACACACGAACCGCCGTTGCTACCGCCGTCAGGAGTGGTGCAAGCGCAATTGATGAAGCCTTTTTCGCATGAGTGAATTCTGGCCTTGAAGTCCTGTAAGCAAGACATGTGGAACCACAGAAAGGCAAAATCAACTTAAAGGTCCTATTTGCTGACGTTGTTAACATCATTTAGGACCCGATATCATCGTTTGCGGGCGTTAAAATACATTTGAGTTATTGAGCAGCTTAATCTAGGATGCACTTTGGGAACCGGGAGATTTGCTTCTTTATTACCCCGATTCGTAACTGTTCTTTCACTTCAGTCAGTATATGGTAGTTGAATGTATTAAAACCGCCCATGAGACAGGTTTGAGGACTACACATCTCAACGATGGTAGTGGGTACACCCACCACCCCTCTCTGCAAAACGATATCTTTTGACGAGTGCTGGACGTTATTCTACCTTGAGCACAGCCTGTTCTTCGATCTCTTTTTATACGAGCCATTCGGTAGGACACGATCTAAAGCAACTTTGGGATTCAGATGTTAACTCTTGATCTCCTTTAACCTTCTCTTTAAACTATTTTCGACTGCCTACTACATAAAGGATATCTGCTTTCCAAATTTCCCGTATTTCTTTCCAATTACCCTCTTACGTAGTTCCCTTATAGACGATTCCACCCAGTTCAAGTACTCCCTCTTGATTAATAGTTGGGTAGACAGGAAGTACTCAATAGTGTGGTAGATAGCGGATAAAAATACAACGTCAGAGGCCCTTTTTTCACAAATCTTCATAGATTTTATCTTCCACTGGGAAAGCAACCTTTCCACCACGTTTGGGTGGTAGCTCCACCCATCCCACCACTACCTCTTATTCCGAATTATTGTTAACCATGTTATCATTAATTCGACTGAAAAGTTATCAATCCTCTATCATATCAGTGATTTGAAACTATTTTCC